GGGGGGGGGGGGGGGGGGGGGGGGGGGGGGGGGGGGGTGTCTGTGGCCTCATGTTCTTGCGCGCTCAGACACGCACGCCCTCTCACATTTACCTTATTACCCGCCAGAAGTGTTTGATTGAACATCTGGGCCTGATTCCCGTCACACGGATCCTGCCACATGGTCTTCGGATTCTGTTTGTCTCTGTATGAGCCGCTTCGTGGTTTCCGATATCGTGCACACAGCTCAGGACCAAAATTCCGCACTCGAGGGCATGCTAAAGACCGGCCCCCTCCTGATGTTAAAGGTTAATCAGCCGCAGCACGGCTGTCTGAATGCGCTTGTCAGATGGATGCGTCCCATCTCATGGGGGGGGGGGGGGGTTGGGGCACGTTGTCCACATCACTAGCTCCCATAGAAAATGTGCTAGCTCTTCCAGGGATGCCCCCCCCCCCATACAGAAAGTGGTACAGTTAGAGTATGCGCTCTGAATACCCCTCCCAGTCCACTTTGGAGTGGGAGGGGTGATTGGATGGTGCCATTAAGATATCAGGTGCCTGATCGATTCAGTCTCTGCTCCCTCAGAAGATGAACTGATGAAGCCCGACACTTTAGATTAAGCCATTAGTCTGGAGGAGGCCAGTAGGGTCGGCCATTGTTCGACTGCAGCCAGGGGAGGAAGCTTACAGTTTCCTGATGCGAACTTATATCACAGCAACATGGGTGTGGTTCGTTGGGGCATTTCCCTGCCCTTTGACCCGTATGGACGTTCCGGCTTAATCCGGGTGGGCAGTGTGTAGTGGAGTGAGGATTCCATTGGTGTCTGTTGCCCAACCTGACTCTACTGCTTACTCTGCCTGTTGCTCTGCCTTAGTCGGCCTTACTCTACTGCTTACTCTGCCTGTTGCTCTGCCTTAGTCGGCCTTACTCTACTGCTTACTCTGCCTGTTGCTCTGCCTTAGTCGGCCTTACTCTACTGCTTACTCTGCCTGTTGCTCTGCCTTAGTCGGCCTTACTATGCCGCTTATGCTCTGCCAGCTTGACTCTGCTGATCTCTGTCTGTTACGTAATGACCTGGATGCATTTCGGTAGTGACTGTTTCGATGTCGCACCAGCTTGTGCCAAGCATGGTGTTGCACCACACTCCACGTGTCGAAACGTGACGTTTGTGTGGTAAGACTGAGCTGGCCAGGAGGGAAGAGGGGGTCAAAATCTCCCTTCACTTCTCTTATGAAAGGTCTCTATTTTCCTGTCATGAAATCTGGCATGGGGGTGGGCGGGCGGGGGGTGTGTGGCGGCGCCTGATATGTTAATACAGGCAGAACCGAATATCCTGGCATGTCAATGAGTAAATATTATAAATGGCCCTTGCAGCTCCAGGCCCTGCTGCAGATCTGGCCCAAACTGAGCCCGCGGGATGCCCTGGAGCTGCTGGACTTCAACTACCCGGACCAGTATGTGCGGGAGTACGCTGTGCGCTGCCTGTGCGACATGAGGTACTGGGACCCGTTGGGCCGTCCCGCCCGATCGCCTGCTGATCTACTTACACTGAGACGTTCAGACTAATCGTGACGGTAAACCTTCCCGATCTCTGCCGACATCCAGCGACGACGAGCTGTCGCAATACCTGCTGCAGCTGGTGCAGGTGCTGCGGTACGAGCCGTATTACGACTGTGCGCTGTCGCGCTTCCTGCTGGAGCGTGCCCAGGCCAACCGCAGCATCGGCCACTTCCTCTTCTGGCATCTAAGGTTAGTGCTGCGTGTGTCGGGGGTTGGGGTTGCGGGGGTGTGTGTTTGTGTAGAGGCATAAGAGAGCTTTCAGGGCTGTCTCTGCCCTTCCCTGTAAATTATGAGGCCACACTGAGTTGGTAAATGGCGGCAATACCCTTATACACAGACTAGGATGTGAGGACACAGGAACTGCAGATACACAGGCTTCTGTAGAGGAGATGCTCAGTCTGCCATTTCAGCCTGGCTCTGACTGTGGTGCTGTGCTGCCCCCTGCAGGTCAGAGATGCACATGCCAGCTGTGTCTGTGCAGTTTGCTCTGATCCTCGAAGCCTACTGCCGAGGCAGCATCCCTCACATCGAGATCCTGAAAAAGCAGGTAATGAACCCGATGACCGGCACGCCCCCCCCCCCCCCCCGCTGATATTCCGTCAGCCGTGTCCCTTTGGAGGCATCGTGCTTTAATGAATTGGCACAGCCTGCGGATAAATCCCGGAATACCCTTGCTATAAATGACAGCCCGTCCATAAATAGCCATTTTCCAAGTGCTGATCCCAGCAGCAGAATCCTGCTGTGATCTGCTCCCCCATTCTGATCTCCTTAACCCCCCTTCCCCCTTCCTGTCCGGTCACACTGCTCAAACGCTGCTCTGGGGTTTCCTGTGTCACAGTCACATGCTCAGTTGGGACTTGGTGTCAGACTCCCAGCTCATGAAGCTTTCCTGCTCATTCAGCGTTCGTGGCAGAGCAGGACCCAGTCAGGGGATCGTGGCCTTACCTCATATTAATAACCCCCATTCCCCCCCCCCCCCCGCTTCACAGGTGGAGGCCCTGAACAAACTGAAGGCTGTGAACGAGCTCATCAAGCTGGGCACCATCAAGAACGTGCGCAAAGCCAAGGAGGCCATGCTGAGCAAGGAGGCTATGCTAACATGCCTGCGGCAGACGGGCTACGCAGAGACGCTGTCGGACCTGCAGTCACCACTCAACCCCCAAGTGCTCCTGTCCGGGATCAGGTACAGGGGGGGGGACGGGGGCTCACAGCCATCGGTGGATCTCAATTTTAAGTAAATTCTCTCCCCCCTTCATGGTTAGACACAGACATAGGTGAGGCGGTCTATTTTCCCATAATGCTGTTCACTTGCTGTCCAGTAGCTCATGACCCTAGCCCTAACCCCCTTAAACCCCCACAAACCCCACCCTGACAGTGAGCTCTGAACTGTGTATTGCTCTTTTGGGCTTTTTTAAAATGGATTATTTTTAATGAATTATGTTACTAAAGCATCAAGCTGCTGTCCAAACCCTCCAGAAGGTTCCTTGGCTGGCGCTCGGCATCAGTCACGCTCGGCGCTAGCTCGCGCTGCTCGAGGGGAAAACCACATTTTGTTATTTTTTGCCAAACCAGAAAATGTGATATTTGAGCGGAGCTGTTGCTGGCCGTCAAGCGGCTGAAATTGAAACCGTGCCAGCGCTGAACTGCTGTAGTGCTTTGTGGGATACCGACGGTCAGCAGAGCACCGTACTCCCCCTGAGCCCTGCAGAGCGGGCAGCGGCTAGCTGATATCAATCCGAATTCCATGCCCCCCCTTCCCTCTGAATGCGCCACTTGTTGGGAATCTCAGGAGATGTCAGACTTGATCATAAATTGAGCCTAGCTGCCCCCCCCCCTCACTGAACCAGAATCCTACCTTCTCCGCCTCGCCCCAAACTTCTGCTTCATAAAAACGACGCCTCCGTCCCTTTGAGATCCTCGCCAGTTTCATGTGGGGCTTCAGCAGAGGCCTGACGCAGCTGCCCCTCCCGTTCGCAGTGTTGAAAAGTGCCGCTACATGGACTCCAAGATGAAGCCACTGTGGATCGTCTACAACAACAAGCTTCTGGATGGAGACACGCTGGGAATCATCTACAAAAATGGGGATGGTAAGCGAGTCTGACCTCGTGATGGGGGGGGGGGTGGGGGGTGTCACCACCTCGCATCTTAATCCTTCGTCCCCTGTCCGTCCTCAGACCTGCGGCAGGACATGCTCACCCTTCAGATTCTGCGCCTGATGGACCTTCTCTGGAAGGAGGCCAACCTGGACCTCAGGTAGATCCCAGGCCCATCGTCTCCCACGTCCAGCTCGCAGGATGATTGTGCTGGTGACGTTCGATGATGGGGACAGACTTGTATCCGTTTGTCAATCACCTGTTGCCATAGCAATCAGTCTGGCAGGAGGGTCTTCCAGAAATGTGGCCCTCGTCATTGTTCTGACCCCGTCCTGCCAGACCACATGCATGCCTCGCTCTGCGCGTCCGAATAATTATCAAGGCCCTCATCATGTGACTTGGGTGTGCAGGTGGAGGAACAGCATTACATTACCACAGTAAAATACCCGACACCGGCTGCGTAAAGGTGGAGCTGGAGGGTCACGTGTCCCCCTTTGTTGCCTTGGTCCATGGAGGTTGTCACTGGCATCTCTGGCCAACAGGGGGAGCCAGTGAGGTCCTGGTGAGGAAGGTAGAGGACCTTCATTTAGGGAAACTCGGAACTCCTTATGTTTTAATTGTGTTACTGGTCCTTGTTATTTTGTCAGCATCGTTAAAGTTAAGGGTTGCCAAATTTATTTCCACAGTGCATCTTCCTGCCTGTGATGCCCCCGCCCCAGCATCTCCCCACCCCCGACTCATCCAAAGCACTCTAACAGTGCTGTTTGTTCCTGCTCTGGAGGCTGTTGTCCTCCCCACCCCCAAAAAAGGCCCCTGCAGATTTCAGACACGCTGCCAAAGTTCTGTAGAACCCGTCAGTTTTTGTCCCGCTAACCAGATCCACCAGCAGCCTAACACGATGGGGCTACTTTAAACTGCCCCCCCCCTCCATCTCAAGCGCTGCCAGGCCCAATGAGCCGTGACAAGGCCGCAGGTGCTGTGTCTGGAGTCGTGCCCCCCCATCCTCAAATGAGGAGCAGCGCTGCTCTCTTCCTCTCTGGCTTCATCCTCCCCCGGTCACAGAGGGGGGGGGGACATGGCACCTCCAGCCAGCATGCCTCATCAGAGGAAGTGAGGCGTGCCCCCGAAAGGCCTCGATTGTTTGGGAACAGACGGCTGCTTTTGTAGTCGTCCCTCACATCTGGAGTGGACTACAGGAGACGGGCTTGTTTTGACAACAGAAATCCCAGCAGCTTTCCGAGGAACAGGGCTCTGGCCTCAGCCCGCTGGACCTCAGTCTTGAGGAAGTCGGGGGGGGGCGGGGGGGGCGGAAGTTTTTGATAGCACGCTAATGGTGTCTGTTGGTTATCTGCTGTGCTGTTATATATTATGTGGCGGGCTGCTTTCCAGCGTGAACCCAGAGCACAAGCCGCCCCCACATGCCCAGCACATGTTCACGTGTCTCGCACATTTTCAGTCTGATGTCCACCCTGTTATTTTTGCCATTAAATGATGTGGAATTCATTAACAGAGCACAGAAAAACAGCATGTGAAATGCAGATGGAAATTGTGCACTCCCATCTAGTGGTGAAGGAAGGGCATTACCACTCAGAGAATCTGACTCCCCTGTAGCGCTTGTACTCGTTTGTAAATGTACTGTTTTCCTTGATGTGCCGGGTGAGGATTATCAGAAATCCCTTATTTTTTTTGCTCTCTATGACCATTCTTTGTGGATCTCTTTGGTGTGTCTCCGCAGAATCGTGCCTTATGGTTGCCTAGCGACAGGGGACCGCTCCGGGCTGATCGAGGTAGTGTCGGCCGCAGAGACGATCGCGAACATCCAGCTGACTAACAGCAACGTGGCGGCCGCGGCGGCCTTCAACAAGGACGCCCTGCTCAACTGGCTTAAGGAGAAGAATTCTGGGTAAATCCGTGGGCAGCCGAAATTGAGGCCCCTTGAATCCTGAGGTTGGGTTGCAGAGATTCCTTTGACTTTCCGAGTAGTAATTCTGACTTCAGGAAGCAATCCAGTTGAAATTTCTGACTAGAAACTTGGAACGCAGCATAAGATCTCTGGCTCAACCAGCCATCCTGTTGCATTATGGGGGCTGCGGTCTTACCGTGGTTTCTCTGCCCTCCTCCCCTGGTCTAGGGATGCCCTCGATCGTGCCATAGAGGAGTTCACGTTGTCCTGTGCTGGCTACTGCGTGGCCACGTACGTGCTGGGCATTGGTGACCGGCACAGCGACAACATCATGGTGCGCAGCACAGGTCAGGTAAGTCCCGCCCATCACAGGCATCGTCAGCCAGAGGGGGGTTTGGGTAGGAGCTGAAAAGGAGCTTGGCGCTGCTTCCAATTTCAGCCTCTGTTCCGTGTCCTTCCAGCTCTTTCACATCGATTTTGGACACATCCTTGGGAACTTCAAATCAAAGTTCGGGATCAAGAGGGAGCGTGTTCCGTTCATCCTCACGCACGACTTCATCCATGTCATCCAGCAGGGCAAAACAGGCAACACAGAGAAGTTTGGCAGGTGGGTGTTGATCATTGTGTGTGTGTGTGTGTGTGTGTGTGTGTGTGTGTGTGTGTGTGTGTGTGTGTGCGTGCGCGCGCAACTGTCCACGACCCTGTCCTGTTGGTGACCTGGCTGGAGTTTGAGGCTCTCACGGCGCCCCCTAATGGTGACGTGTTGACACTACGCTGCCCACTAACATGCTAACCTCACGTTTCCAGTTTCCGTCAGTATTGTGAGGAAGCCTACCTGATCTTACGCAAGAATGGGAACCTCTTCATCACCCTGTTTGCGCTGATGCTGACGGCCGGCTTACCTGAGCTGACCTCGGTGAAAGACATCCAGTACTTGAAGGTAAGGGGCACCTTGGGTAAAGGCGAGGCGTATGGGATGCGGGCCTCGAGTTGCGGCCCCGTTGTAAGCAGCCGCTCCACCCACAGGACTCGCTGGCGCTGGGGAAGACTGACGAGGAAGCCCTCAAACAGTTCCGACAGAAGTTCGACGAGGCTCTGAGGGAGAGCTGGACCACCAAGGTCAACTGGATGGCCCACAACGTGGCACATACGTGGTCCTAGTGAGTGTGGAGGAAGGGACCTGGACAGCGGGGGCCCACACACCGGCAGGGGGGTGCCCCTGTTTTGTTGTCCTAAGCTACTCTGCTTCCTGATGAAGCAACACGACCAATATGGTTTGTTTGTTTTTTTTTTGGGGTTTTTCCTTTTTGCTGTGACATATCTGTATATAGTGAGTAATCAATATTGAACAAGTTGCTGATTTTGCACGGTGGGGGGGGGGGCTGCTAGTACTCATGTCATGTTTGAGAGGCATGCCTGGAGTGGGTGGGGCTGAGTGCAAGCCCCCCACCTGCACCAGGAGGTGAGCTACACTGTATCCATACGCCTCTGTTGATGTCAGGCTTTGTTTTGATCTTGAGCTGGAGTGAGGAACTGGAGGGGGAGTCTGTACACTGGAGGGCGCTGTGATCGCCCCGAAGAGTTGCACCTGCACGGACTCATTCACACCCTGAAGTGGGTTGGGGGGGAATGGGATAGTCCCTCCTTCAACCAGCCATCCTCCCTCCATCCACCACAGCACTGATGGATGTCACGCAGATTGAGAGGAGAAAACTGCCACTGCCTGCATCAAACGATGCCAAAATATACATGCGTGTGTTCTCTCACTTTCTAGTGGCGCCTCCTACTGGATGACTAGGAAAAGGGGGCCTTGGGTTATGCTGAAGTTGTGTGTGTGCGCGTGTGTGTGCGCGCGCGCGTGTGTGTGTGCGCGTGTGTGTGTGCGCGTGTGTGTGCGCGCGTGTGTGTGTGCGCGTGTGTGTGTGCGCGCGTGTGTGTGTGCGCGTGTGTGTGTGCGTGTGCGCGCGCGTGTTGTGTGAGTATTAATGCTGCATGTGCCTCAGTGATGGGACAGTCCAGAGCTGGGGTCCGGGCTCAGATTGACAGCACCAATCGAACCACTAAACACTGGAAAATTAAACCACAGAGACACTGGGATTCTGACTCTAAGAATAAGCCGGAGTCGTCTGATTTTTATTGGTTTTATTTAACTTGTTTGTGTTACAAATGAAGGCTTTGAACGAAAGCATTTCCATCTTTTGAAGACTGACGAGAAATGTTGAAAATTTGAGCTACAGGGCAGATCTGCCGCTGTGAATCCCCTCGCCCCCCTCCCAGTGCCTGAGGACGGTGGGGAGCAGAAGACTAATGTGTTGCGGGGGCGTGGCCTGGTGGGCGTGGCCCGAGGCTATCGCGTGGGGGGGCCTCCATCACCGTGAGCCTGTCCCCACCATCAGGAAGCACTCAACACCCAGAGCCACGCTTGGGCATGTGATGTAACTGAAAATGGCACAAGAACTCTGACCCGGGACCAACGTTCACATTTTGTCATTCTCTTGTTTTTTTTTTTTCTCTCAAAGGGGAATGTGTGTCTTAATATCCGGAAAAGTGAGTCTTTTTTTTATATATATATATATATCTGCAGATGTAGGCAGAGTCTGTTCTTTTTAACTGCCTGACAGAGAGCATTAAGTCTTTTACTTTGAATGTTTTGTTTCAAAGCTACGTTTTTAAGGTGCTCTCCCAACATCTGCGTCTGACTTTGTGCAATATCCATAAACACATATGAACCTGCAGATTGCGAGTCTCCCTCTAATGTTTTTATTTGCCGATGCTGCACCAGTAGCCTTGAATTCTTTTAGACACTGAATATTTCTGAATGTACAGGTTTTGTTCTGTAGATGTTTCTCTCCCCCCCCCATGGACTTAAAATTATAGGAATTAAAGGTATTTTACGTCTAATACAGATTTTTCATTTTCCATTTACAATGGACTTGTTTTGTTGGGGGGGCATTGGTGCAGTGCTTAGTGCTGTTACATGGCTCGAAGTGTGTGGAGTCTGCATGCTCTCCTCATGCCTGCCTGGGGATTCCTCTGGGCTCTCCGTCCCCTCCCCCATGTCAAAATAAATTGCCCATAGTTGTGAATGGTGTTTGTGTGTGTGTTGGGTTGGCACCCCATCCTGGGTTATTCCCCGCCTTGCAGTCGTAGCTTCCAGGATAGGCCCTGGATCCCTGCAACCCTGTCTTGCGCGAAGTGGGTAGTGAGGATGGATGGATGGATAGATGGATGGATGGATAGATTGATGTATGTATGAGTTTGGGCGGTAGGCATTTCCTATGTGTGACATTGGCATAATCTACACTGTAGATTATTCAATGTAATTGATGGGTCATCTCTAACTGAATTACACACAGGTTCGGGACCATTGGTTATTTAAAATGGTTTTTAAAAACTGTGATTGTAACTGGTAGGTGGATCAGTTTTCTTAGTGGGGGGGGGGAAGGGGGGATTTAGTAAACTGTTACCGAAATGCCCTTAGCCTCCAACACAAATGACCAGGACAGGAAAGGATCACTGATCATGGTAGAATGGGTCTCACCCAAGGCACTTCAACACACAGCAATGGTGGGAATAGTCTCACATGGGAATCTGAAATCACAGACAGGAAGCTTATAGACATCTTTAAATTAGTTCTTTTTAAACACTTTTTTCTGTAAGTGTAGGAGCATAATGTGTATAAGAATGCATTTGGCGCATATATAATTAAGCTGTCACGTAGGTGGTAACTACGATCTGTGTGATTAAACCGCTCTGTGGCCGAAACGCACTTTCACGGTGCTCTACACTGGGGTTGTTTTGGGAGTGACATTTTTAAATCGTTGATTCAGGCATGTTTGACGTCATTTTGCATTGAAGTATATTTTATTATGGCGTAAAGTGGTCATTTAAATTAGAAATGGAGTGTTGATATTATTTGCACCAAATGTCAGGTGGGTATTTAAGGATAAGTGACGCCTTTTCGTGCTGTTCAACCAGTGATGAATCACGACGCCGTTTGCCGTTTAATTCCCTAACAAATCGGTAATCGAGAACGCAGCTTTGCCGCATGTGGGTGGAAATCACCACTACTGTTTACTTGAACACAGAGCAGTACATTTCGGAAGGTGTCGGCATTCCTCTGTACAATAATGACTTAACAGTTTTGCTTTTATTTTAATCTGCCTTAATTATTTTATCATCCCGCTTGATTTCTGTTCGTAGTGTCGCACAAAACCAGCAGAGGGAGACAAAACGCCAGTTGTTGAATCTGGTGAAAAATATTTGCTCTCTGAAGGGGTCATGTCTGGCACAGTGTCAGTTTTAAACGGCGCGCCCATTGATCGGCTCGGTTTATTTGGTTTCTTGGAAATCATTAATATTCGGTATTTTTTGGATTGCATAACATTTGTTTCCATGTTCATGGAATTCTCTATCATGTTTTGTAGTACATAATGCACAATTATAAAGGCCACCTTCAGAGAGGTAATGCATCCTTATTCTTAATCGGCACTGCAGATTTTGCTAAGGCCTTTGAGTGACAAACTCAATTCATAAAAATTCTTTATATCATTGTTTACATCCAAGGAAAATGGTTTCACTGTATTCGTAATTGTTGAATATGTGATGGAAACTGGTGTTTTGCGCTAGAGATTTTGTTGTGAGCCTTGTCACACTCGTTGAACCAGCAAAAGAATGAAAATGAGACACTGAGAAGAAAAAACTTGCACAGTAAATCATGAGAGATAACAGGAAAATGGAAAAAGATTCAATTAAAAGCGAAATCACCCTATAGCACAGGACAAGTGCAAAACAAGCCACTTTTCAAGATCCAAGTCCCTAATGGTAAAACTGTACACCGTGGGAGGCCAGGCCAGAACCCCCCTAACCCCCCCCCCCCTTACTGTTTACAAACGTGGCAGATTTACTCGGTCTGTTATGGTGCCCTACTGTTAGGAACATGCTTACCTTAACCAAGTCTTGAGCACCACCTTTCATTCATGACTCAGTGTGGGTGGTGCGCTGTGGTGCGCTGTGGTGTGCTGTGGTGCTACTGCACTCCCGCTCCTGAGTGGAAACGGATAGAAAAACACAATCTCCCCACACGGTGGATGATCTCGAAATTGTCCACTTTGCTTCTGATTCATTCCAAATAAAGGTCACGCATTACGTCATCGTTTCATCAGAAGGGGTTTAGCCAATTGTGAAGCTGGGGCCCCAGAGCAGGGTAAGGGGGTAGGTGGGCACTGGAACCAAGGCTACAGTGTCGTACACGTTTTAGTTTAACACAGACTATATGTTTTTTTTTAAGCAGCAGGATCCTGATTCTATTCCATTGCATGCATTTTGAAACAATTTACTCCATTGAAAGACATATTTAAAGTTATGGTCGTTGCTTTCGGAAATGCAGCAATAAAGCTGAATTAATTTCCACTTAAAGTTTAATATGTGCCTGATTTTCCAATTTTATTCTACTAATACTATTTGTGTGATATGGCCAAAATTCTCTAACTGATCTGCGCTGACTCGCATCCACTAATGGGTGTAGGGAACAGCACGGCCTTGAGCTTAACACCGTGTTAGATGGCCCAAGTGCCAGCAGGAGTTGCTCTGCTGTACCCCTGGGGTGAAAAGTGTATCCAGGTGCATAAATAGGTAAAAATCATATGGGATGAAAGAATCAGCTCAGCAACTAACTACAACAGGATTGGTGCTTTTTCAAGACGCACCAAGTCACTTTCTGTAACATCAATGGAACAAGTGAACTAGTGAGTGAAAGTCTTGGGTTCTTCATTTGCAGTGGAATGCACTAAATACAAACTGTACATAGAACGACTGCACAACAGCGTGTGCTACACATATACACAATACACACAGTCAGGGGCGTTGCTAGAGATTTTGGGCCCCATGAAAGCATATCATATTAGGCTCCCCAGTCCAAACCAATCCAGTTATTTTCCTAATTTTTTAGGGCCCCTGTCACTCAGGGGCCCTTGGAATCGTCCTAGCTTTCCTCCCCCTTACGGCGCCCCTGCACACAGTACAAAATACAACACAACATAGAACAAGCACAGAGTAGGTGCAATAATCGCATCCTACCAGTGCAATGGGGAATGGAGGTACCTTCTTTACTCAAGGACACCACACGTCCATCCTGGGAGCCGAACCAGTACTCTTGGAGTCTGTTTTGCTTCTTATTATACTTCCTTGTTCTGATCTTGTTCAGTTTGTTCCGTATTAGTATGTTCCTTCTTCCACCTTCTTCTAGGTGTCTCCCTGCATCTTCTAATCGCTTATGCTCGTCAAGGTCACCGGAGGGCTGGAGTCGAACCCAGGCAGCACGGGACAAAAGACCGGGGTCCCACACTGGATGGGATGGCGCTGTTGTTTTGTCTTGTAAAATTAAATGTTCTTTCTGAGGCAGAGGGTTATTCTAGCATCTTCGTTTATGTGCAGAAGTTGCACACAAAACCCGGGAAATTTTGGACAACGTTGTTAGTCTCTCCTGTGATCCAGCGCTGTGGTCTGCAGGTATCTGAGTTGGCACAGAAGCTTTAAAATCCTCTTCCTTCCTTTCCGCCACCAACTGCATATGCTACCGCGCTGTAAACACTTTCTAGCATTTTGGCCACAGCTGGGGCCTGTATGACGAAGCGAGATTTGTTGTTTGGTTAGCTAGATAATTTGTTGGATTTAAGATACTCCAGTTCTAATGGACTTTCTCTTCAATTGCTTACATTTACCTTGAATCTGACAAGTTATCTTGCTAACCCCAAAATCCAGCTTGGTGATACAGGTCCCTAACCTTCCACTATTTAACCAAGCTGCTTGATCATTTGGCTGATCGGAAAGCACTAAGAAGTCTTCACCTCACCCCTTCATCCTTATCAGGGGCATCACTAAAGATTTTGGGCCCCCCAGTCCAGACCAATCCAGTAATTTTCCAAATTTAAGGGCCCCTGTCACTCTGGGGCCCTTGGAATCTTCCTAACACCCCACCCACCTTACAGTCCCCCTGATCCTTATTAGACAACTGGGGCTCTTCTGGACTTTGAGTTACAACACACTGTTTGCAGGGATGCCTTAAAAAAAATGCCTGCACTCTGTACCCAGGGATAGTCTGATGGAGCATTAGTTTTCGGACACACTGAGAAGTGTATGTTTATGAAAGGAATTGGAGGATTCCCGTGTTCAGAGAATATCGTCCGTGGCCAATTACCGACATGTTTAAATCCTTCCTAGTTGACCATTTTATTATCAACAGCAGCTCAGGGTAGTCCCACTTATGAAGCGTCATTTCCTTCAGGAACGGGCGCCGCTGTAGCATCATGGCTGCGTATTAGTCCCTTCCAGCTATTTTTGTCTGTATGTCAAACAGCGTTTAGTTTTTATTTCTGTAGCATAAATTGTCAGTTGTATTTTAATCTCTACCGGTCCCATCTCACCGTTAATTGCAAATTTCTCATTAAAGCCCGTTCATGACCACCATTGAATCCCATTATTTTACAGAGATCTTTGTTACTCAATGAAAATCCTTTATCATCGCTGTCACACGCTTCTGAAGACTGGCTAACGGGAGCGGGTTTACGTAAAGCTCACACCGTGCATATAGTAGGCTACGTCTTCAAATCTTAATTTGACATTGCAGTTTTATGTAATGAAAACGTGATCCTCAGGCTTGTATAACGTTGTAACATGCGCTCGAAGTTTAACAGACTCATTAACCGCCTGACCAGCATCGTCTCAGCTGTGCGACATTTCTACCCACAAACATAGCAAACTGTTCAATCGCTAAATTATAGTTTTATTCCGAGACGCTCTCAATTGGCGGCTCCGCCTGTCACCACCGGCCCCAACTGAAACCGATCTGCAGAAAGAACACATTTATTCAAGTAGGAAAAAATGCAAACTAGTCAAACCAGGATATGCATATTGCAATTTGGAAACTAGCAGCAGCATGACTGCAGTGTATACGTCAAACGGGAGAACAGATATTACTGAGTGATAAAACAAAGAAAATACTTTGGAGTGTTTTCAAAATTGCATAGGCTCTATATTGAATTAATAAGGTACTCCTAAGATATCCTACATCTGGACATAATATAAATAAAACCAGGTTTCTATAGTTTAAATATTAAACTAATAGGAGTTACTTCTATATTATAGACCTGATGCATAGCCTACTTAGTGAAATGTTTCACATTCGGTCGTGTAAAAGCCTACTTGTAATATAAGAATGCAGATCCATTTTGTTTGATTTAGCTCCCGTCCCATGTAATTTAGTTGTTGTTTATAGGAGCAACATTATAAACTTGAATCAGTATACTATTATTACAGTTTGCAAGTGCCGCCTACTTACATAACCTAATATTCTAGCGTTATCTGAAACTCCTGATACCTTGGAGGTATAATCGGAGAATAGGCCTCCGTTACGTATTATCCGTAACATTTTTCCTAATTAGAAATTAAAGATTCTTCCGTATTCAATTGCTTTAAATCAGCTTCTGTTTGATAATAATAATTAAAAAAACAGCTACTCTATGGTCCACATTCTCTGTACACACAGTTGATAATAGCTTTAGGTAACAGCGAACGACATTCAAACATCCCGGGCCAAACACCACCTCCGCTCCCTATTAATGCTGAACTCAACCACTGCGCCGTGAGCTACTCAACATACTAGGGATTCCGCTACCCTCAACATGAAATTACACGTGAGGCGTATGGCATCATTACATAAAGAGACTGGCGGCAGAATCGACAAATCGCACTGGGGTGAAGTCATCTGGCAAACGTTTTCCATGGAAACCCGACCGGGCGGCCAATGAGCAGAAGGCTGGGGGAGGAGCCTGAATCGAGGTCACGTTCGGCGCTCGAGGATTCGGGAGTAGGACAGCAGCTAGGGAGCCTCGCGCTGAACCTGGAGCACTGTGTCAGACAGTCTGCCTTCGCAAGCCGTTCCGCGGGACACTACAGCTGCTTTTCCCTTATCCCGAAGAAGAACGTTACGGAAATCACCGCAACAATAACAAGCTACCCGGCACTCTTTCGGACTGTACAGGTTAGTGTTTACATTACTTTTACTTGTAATTGTAAACAATGCCCAGAAAAAGAGGTTGCATAACCTGAAGCGCACTGCGCATGTGCATAACTGGAAAAGTCCATCTCAAAAAACGTTACTAGTTTGTTAAATGTATTTTTAACCACTATCTGATCATCAAAATCATACCAAAAGCAAGAATGTGTTGTGGTTTTTATTGTGTTTACACAGGTTTTTTTTCCGCCTAAGAGTTTATGGGTAAAAGAGAGTAAAACTCGGGTTTACACCGAGGCATTGTGTTGCCTGGAATGTAGTAACCGACCAGCTGTATGCTTCTGTTCTGTGAATACATGGAAATTGTAGTTAAACAGCTTTATGACAGCTTACATTAGCTTTGCTGTCCACCCGCCTTGAAACGTATGCATATGATCTGGCTGGTTTTGGAGCTGCATCCCCGGTTAGTTTAAAAGGAAGCACAACGTCATGCCTTAAAACTGCGAAGTAAAAGAATCCTACTGCAAAGTTAATGTCCATTGTATTGGAGGTAAACGACAAACATGCGCTGTTTTAAAACTAACTTTCAGGGCATCAGCTACACATGATCGACGGTAAGTGCGTACTATGCAGTATTCGCAGGCATGGAGCAATCTCAGTTTTGCCGGATGTCTACCTGTTATTAAGCGCAGGTGGCTGTGGTTGGTAAAAGCTGCATAGACGAGTGACGCGTAATGATCAATGCTCAACTATTTCTCCATGACTTGTCCGCTAAATGTCAGGTGCGGTGATGTAAAATTTGTGCAAAGTTGGTAAACCACAAGCGTAGGCGACCCAGATATTTGTAGCTACTGCTTTATTGTCACGTCCCACGTCGGCGCTGTTTCCCCATACATTCTATTAACAATTAATAATTGTGGAATGAATAGGCAGAAAACATATGTGTATGAATCTATAGGATGAACTGTGAATTATGATAATTAACAGTTGGAGTTTCATTGATAATGTACGGTTGGATGTGTGTACTTGTGACTTGTCTTGTAAATATAAATGAATGACTGGGACTCTAATTAGATTTTCACTCCTCGCGTTATTTATGTACGCTGTGATTAGTTTAATAATCATAGGGAAAGGGGAGTTGTCCTTTTCAGATCCCATGGCAGAACCACGTGGGCGTGTCTGGTCGTTCCTGTACTGCAGAAACTGTACATGCATGTTGACGGAGCTATGTGAGGACAAGTGGGCTACAGAATTTGCCCGTGACCTACAGCTGCACAGCCTGCTCTAAATACTATGCTTAGAGCTGGCCGTGCTGCCAAGGAGCGCACCGGTGTCATTTCAGGCGAACGTATTCATCAGGCTGGATGACATTAGAAGTTTTAGCGTGAATTTCTATTTCAAAAGAAAAAAATCATCTTAAGTGCAGTATCTATTCCACAAAGATGATTTTGTTCTTATCTCACCAGTGATGAAACTTCGGATCTGAAGCTCGATAGTCATTTACGACCACATACGGTAGCACAAACAGTTGTTATATACGTATGGTTCATCATAATGGTGGGATTTTAACCCTTTGTGCATAAACACCAAAGTGTTTTATATTTGGAGGTATCCATTTACGATACATGATACGCTTCTTCCTAATTTGATCTGTTTACTGGAGACTCCGCAGTTTGCAGCTGCTCTTTAACGTCGTTTATAAGGTGGCGCCTTGCCATCCTCTTTATATGGAAGGAAGCGCGGATTGGAACGCTTGTCAGCCAATCAGCATCCAGGAATATGACTCAGGTGTAATAATTAAATTTTGATGGTATGATGAAGGAATATTGGGTTATATACATACCTTTGATGTCATAAACGCGGGGTGCCTTGAAAACTTCCTGCTGTAGTAAACAGTGTACTCCTACAGGACCTCGTTTTGGTGTTTACATTATTTATTTTGTTTTACTTCCCTATTACCTATACAGAGCATGGTCTAATTGAGTTCTTATTGTGCGTCAAGGGCAAAGCCTTGGGGTTGATTTGCGTGTTTTTAACGTTATCTAATATAAAACTAGTCTGCTTAATAATGTGCAAATGTGTTGAGTCGAGCAGTAATTTGAATAGTATTGATCATTAATATCTTCGCACAGTACTAAGCATATTTCACTGGTATAAAACCCGACTGCTGAGAGTGTTGATGGTATTTTGTTTTGCTGGTCTCTTTTTGGTATCAAAACTATAGTATATTTAGCTGTTACGCAGAAGTGTTTAGAAGCAGATTAATTTTTACGATGAGATGTTCTTCCCTTATTTCGGACTTATTTAATGCTTTCTTCTTTGCTCTGTAAATGATCGTAATGGCTTTCTGCTTCCGTGGGGTTATGAGTTGAGCGGGCATCTGCCCAGTGTGTTTGACGTGCTAATGATCGCAGCTCCCCCTAGAGTGATTGCTTCCTCGATCTGCTCTTATTTTCAAAGCATGCATGGTCTCTCTGCACAGCACGGACCTTCTGGGAAATGAGTGGCATAAAATTTAGCGGAGTTAGGATTGTAATTCCGCCGATAATATCTCACTGGTCGGCTTGGTGCGTTTAGCATTTGAGTGGCACTCTGGTCATAAGTACTATCTGAGGTGCTGTGTTGTGGGCTGAATTGTTGTGCCCTCCCCACCCTTGGTGCTCTCTGCAGCCTGATCAGGTAATCACCATCTTGCCTCATTGACAAAATAGAATCCATTCAGGGATGGGGGTAGCCATTTTGTTTCAACATTGCTGCTTAACGAAACAGCTGGTATTATCATGCAAGGAGTCCCCCTCTGTATTACCTGGTCAGATTCCAGGCCTGCTGTGTCACTTATGGATGTGTCATTCTTGGAAGCGGAGATAACCATGTAGTATGTTGGTATTTCCCTGTCTTTTTTCCTAAGTACATTGCCAGAATGTTCCATTGGGAAGTATACTGACTTATTGTTGCTTTTGGAAAGTCCTGTAGGCAACGTTGAATGTAGGAAGTCAGAAGCATCGGGGCTGAAAATAGTCAGAAAAATGATCCTCTGGCACATGGACACTCTGGGCTTCGGATTACTAAGAACCTGTATGTTGTGTGACTCCTCTGATGAAGACTCAGGTTTGCATGCTGGCTTTCAGTCATGATCTAACCTCAGGCTGTTAGTGTTTTTGAAAGATGCTTATGTACTGTAAGATCTGGGCTGGGGGGCGCCTGCTGAACAAAGTCATGTGACATGGGGGTGGCAGGAAACAGCAGTGTTTACCATCACTCAATGCACACATTTGCATGGTGTGAAGGATAAAAGCGAAATGGAGAAAACAAACAAAGAGAGAGGGATGCTGGGGTGGGTTGGGTGTCAGGTCTGGGCAAGTTAACTAGGGCGAAGGGAAAGTACCTCAGCTATTACACAACTACTGGGAACTGTCTCACCTGAATGCCATGTATGGATGCCGCCGCCCCAAACTCTGCCCCCAACCCCGCCTCTCTTACAGGCAGGCTGCGGAGTACATGGGCATGAGATATCTATGGTCTGGCTGAAATTAAAACACAGTTCAGCTTGGGGGGGGGGGGTATGGTCTGCCCATTGGTAAATCCTCCTCTAACCCTAACTCCAGCCCCTCCTGTCTATTAGCACATCCTGATAAACCTGGCCCTCCTCAGGAGGGTGAGTGAGCAGCCCAAAGACACCCCGTGTCACCACAGTCACTGCCGTATATCTCAGGTTTAATAATCAGTAAACGGTAAGTAAGTTTTATCCATAACGGTGCTTAATACCAGGATGTACATAAAGCTAAATTAATGAAACACTGGCTGAATGAATATATATACAGTCGGCCCTCGTTTATCGCGGTTAATCAGTTCCAGACTACCGCCATAAGGGAATTTCTGCAAAGTAGGACTCTTTATAAGTTGAATATTGTCGTAGTTAGGTTTTCTGTGCTCTGCTTACGACCTTCTAAACACAGTTTTTAACATTATTAGAGCCCTCTAGACATGAAATAACACCATTTAGTCACCATTACTGTTATGATTGCTGGACACGAAAAGAGGAACGGGGAGACGAGGAATCAGGATCGAAGGGTTTATTTGGAATCACTCCAAATGCATGACACAGGAACATGTAACATAAAAACGTCAATGACAGACCTGGGGTTACAGACTCTGACGTGGACTTAAATACACAGGACGAATCAAACTGACAGAAAACAGCTGGTCACAACCGGGGTTGCACACGTGGTTAATAAGGGGGCGTGGCACACAAGAGGATCGTACAGGCAGGTCATGACAATTATACTCGTATTACCCAATATATTAGACAAAATAAGAGAAAATAAGACATATTAGACGTTACAAATATCATATTTGTACATTTAATTACGAAGAGCAAATTACGAAGATGTTTCCGATGCGTAGCGATGTATCATTTTCAGTGTCTCAACTTTTGAATATACAAAAAACCACGATAGAGTGAAGCCGCGAAAGTCGAAGCGCGAAGTGGCGAGGGACGACTGTATATACTTTCCCTCCGCAGCCGTGCGTTCAACAATGCATAATACCCACTTAAACCACGGTTCTTACAAATTTGGCTTGCACATTGGTATATAAGGAATGGCCTTTGCATTTAGCGTCAGGCAATTTCCAAATTTAATTATTTATTAATTATTTTCAAATTAAAGATGCTGGCTAGGGTCATGTATAACCAAAGTATTTCATGGTGGTAGATGATGTCAAATTTTTGATGCCGTATTTTTAAAAACAATACTATTGCGATACTTTGAAATGGCACAAGATGCAGTTTTCCCAAATGCTGTGCTTGCCATTACCCCACCCAAACCTAAAGCGTTTTCGGTTCATAAGTGTGAAAATAGTGATATCAGAAACTCATGTATTTTTGCCTAATATTACAGATACTCATAGCTAATATTTTCTGAAGGTCTGAATAAAGCCTCTTACTATACTGAAAACACACAGATAAACAAAAATCTGTGTTACCCCTGCTGGTGAACGGTGACACTGGTGACACGGGTGTTAGGAGTATCAGTGTGACAGCAGATAGGAAAAACAACTACTCTGCTAACTTAGAATGCTGAATGAATATCGACTACGATCGACACGTCAGATCGATGCCGACGCCTCGATTTTTTTAACCAATGTCGGCCAATACCGATACATTAACCACAGCATTGCGAATTTGTAGTCTTAGGTTTGCGTACCACACCTTCCCTTCCTGTCATCTCTGTTTTGTGGGTTTGTCCTACTTGCACAGCACGCCATTTGTTTGCATGTATGAAATGCTTTTCTGGGCAGCCTGGCAAGAAGAAGGCACCGAGGCACGATGTTAGGGAGGCTGTGTTATGAACAGAAATAGCGTTGGATTGGATTGGATTGCACTGGCAGGCTTTATCGGTACAGTGTTTCCAGGCAGCAGGCCCGGCTTGCTGCTCTGGCCGGCTCTGCTTGATTAACTGGACTGTCTGTGAGCTGTTTTGACTGTCGCACAGACACGTAGCATCCAGCTTTTGCCAGTTTGCGATGAATCACCCCGTCTGGCATGTTTTTATATATGCGGCGGGAGGGTGATGGTGTGGAGCTGTCATGTAGACATGATTCTGAAATCATCTAACATGTCCAACAGGCCACCTGTCAGCAGGGCATGTTTTCCTCTGGGAGTCTGCGTGATTCGGTGAGCGTGGCTGGTTTCCTCACACCGCGAGCAGTAATGACATCGCTGTTGGCTTTGTATGTTTACAGTTTTATAATTAGTTTAGGAGTCCTGGGCGTCACGTACCAATGGGTAAGCGCAGGTGCAATACCTTATGCTGATTTACGCTGACCTGGCAGCCCCACCCCAGGATTGCCCCTCCCTTCCTCGGGGGCTTTTACAGAGCCTGCCATCATGGCACTGAATGTTTTTCTGTTTGGCTGCCTCCTCTCGCTCAGCCCTCTGACCTTTCGCGGATCACAAGCTTGTTTTTTTTTTTTTTTTTTTTTTTTTGTTTTGTTTTTTTAAAGGCTGGTATGAAGCGAGGGGCAGCTGGGTTTAGCGGGACTGCAGGGGGGTCCAGACAGGCCACAGCGAGAGGGCAGAGACGCAGACACAGACGGCCTTTGAAGCTCAGAGGAGGGTCTGATGCTCTGCACCACACGGCCCTTCCCCAGCTGTGATTTGACGGGGGGGGGGGAGGCGGAAGTCTGTCTGAAGGCCATCAGCATTGAGTCGAGGGCTGGCGAAATGTCATCAAAACAGTCTGCACTCATGCATCTGCATTCATTTTGATATTCGCACCTAGAACCACGAAACGGGACTCGTTAGTGGCCGTAGTCTAGGAACCCGAATGCTGCAGCATCTCAAGGAGGCCCATGCTGACTTTGGGGTTTATGGTGTCATCTGAAAAGGTGAGTCTTAGCTGGAGCGCAAGTTTTGTTGCAGTTGAACATGGCCTGGAGGTCCGGCGGGGCTCGAGGGCCCGATGAACCTACTGGTACCAAGTTCACAACCGAGGCTGCAGCTTGACAAATTTTTCTACACCATCGTTCAGAAAGATGCTGTTCTTGGGTAGATCCTGGAGAGGCTTCTGTGAAATAGTGTTCTTTGAATGCTATGAGACATTAGTTTTCATGCAAAATTTTCCATGTCTCAACTTTTTCTCCCATGCTAGAACGTAATACCATGTGCTTCTCTGTTTACCTGTAGGGGGCGCCCTTCCTGCTCTGTGCTCCATCAGAGTGTCATGTGTGAAGTATGCTGATTCCCACCTGGCCCCAGAAGCATCTCCCTAAACATGACTGAAGGCGCGGATACCCAGCGGTACCTATACGCCTCCGTGGAGGAACCGGATGCGTTCAGGGAGGAGGAGGAGGAAGAGGAGGAGGCATGCAGCTCTATCGGCCAGCGTTGCCGCATGAGCAGCTTCGGTGAGGGGCGGGGTCGTGGCGGACCCGAGCTGGGCCTGCCCTCTGAGGGCAGCGAGAGCAGCCGTGAGCCGCGCGGCGAGCGCCAGAGAACACGCTCCCTGCACGAGGACATGGAGATGAACGGGAGCGGCTCCAGCGGCAGCGGGACGGAGTCCCACGGCAACGAGTCCCACGGCAACGAGTCCCACGGCAACGAGTCCCACGGCAACGAGTCGCACGGCAACGAGTCGCTGGGCAGCTCCAACGGCAACTGCAAGGACTCAGCAGTGCTGGAGTCGTCGGGGAGTAACAAGAGGTCAGGCTCCGCACAAGCTCTCCTGGGTTTTAGCCGCTGAAAGAGGGTATTGGACATTTTGGCATTTAGGCGCTGGGTACCTCTGCAGCTGCAGATGGGGAGATGGAGACCCAGACTGTACAATAGATTTATCACCTTTTTAATACAAACTTGCTGCCTTTCACCTGTGTGCAAGGGTTTCTAGTGCCCTGGGGCTCCACCGCATGCCCCTTTTCCTAAAATCCTGCCAGTCGCAGGACCTGCTGCTCATGTGCTTCCTGCAGTGCCTGCGATTTGTGCATTGCACTGCGGCCTCCCATGGCTACATCTCCAGAGGTGCATGTAGCCACAGCGCCCAGGCGCAATTCTAGGCGTGCGTCCGAGACTGAGGAAGGTGGCTGTTTCCACAGTAACAGGCTTCCGTGTGAGGTGGGCGTGTACATCCATAAGCGATGAGGTCATGCTTGGCTCTGTCGCTATCCTGCTGCTTGGCTTCGGCCTGGCCGGCGATCCAGATTGCCCAAACCGGACAGCAGGCAGGGCCAGGACGGCCCGCTTACAGTTCCGGGACACGTTAAGTAAACAAGATGCTCGTGAAAGATTCCTGCAGCCAGTGGCGATAGTCTTTACAGCAGATAACGGCCCGAAATGGGCTTTTGTGCGCTGGACGTTGTTTTAATGACTTCCATGCATCAAAGCCAAGAGAATGTGCCGTATTGGAGGAATAGAACGGCATGTTTAGACGCTATGCCCTTCTACTCTCTCCCTCGTGCGGTTTATAAGAACATAAGAACATAAGAAGCATCGGGGCTGAAAATAGTCATAATTCATTTATCCGTTTCAGCTGCTGACTTTCCGTAACCATTGATTTTTTTTCCACTGGATACCTCCCCAAAAATGTGTGTATCAAAGAAACGCGCATTATTATATTTCAGAAATCAGAAATTATCTGGTTAAGTGACGTTTCAGAGAAGGATTATGATAAATATGAGTATAAAATGGCCAGCAGTGTTCATCTTCAGCGTGACGCCAGACCTTAATTTGGGCTGTGATTTGTTTGTTTTTCCAATAGATTCTGCTGCACCCCCTCCCATGTTGACAGGGAGCGCGGATGACGTAGCGCTTAAAACGGTAGCCGAAGCGCTACCTCATTTCATGGTGCCTCATGAAGGGAAGAGGAGCGCAAATTGCATAAACACCAGCTAATGGTCTAATGCTGATTCTGTTAAATTGCAGGCTGAATGAAAGTGGTCTCGCTAATGTGCTCACAGGGTCACTTAAAGCTTCGGATCTTTAATTCACGGTTATAGAGCGCAGCCAGGAGGGGAGTTCTGGAAAATCGATGCCAGTAAGGACCGAGTGCCCAGTAGGGCAGCCTTGGCCAAAATGCAGGTGGAATTGAACACTTTTATTTTGCCTGTTCCAGTTTTTAATGTTTGTATAAATAGTGCAGTGCAGAACATTCCAGTACATGGCTATGAGCGACCACACGCTGGCCCAACAAATGAAGGCAGAGGGGGGGTTCGGTCTAGATGGCTCTTGGTGTGGGGCCGGGCCCAGAGCGGGAGAACCTGGCCCGGCCTGCCAGTGGAAAAACCTCATAGGTGATGTTTTAAATGGGTTTCTGTACTGGGAGTGTGGCTGCCTATTTATGAACCCCGCCTTTACGTAATTGGGTGTGTGGGTTATGCCTAGAAAGCCTTACCCTGCATTAATGCTTTTCCTGTAGACGGACAATCAATTCCTTGCCTCCTTGGGTTATTTATGTATTTTTTCCTGCGTTAAGTAGGAGCTCAGTGGGTTACCGGCAGCCATTAATAGCCATGATGCGTGTTAATGTCCTAATCCCAGCTTCCCGGTCATGCTCAGCCCCTCCAGGTTCATTGTGTCACACTGGGGGCCGTGAAACTCCCGTGAGCGCCACCTACAGTCAGTCTGTAAATGCCAGGTGTGGCCAAAGAGTGTCTCTGCGGGTAGGAGGGGGTGTGAGATCAGAATTATGTAATTCCGGCACAAAACCTTTCCGAAGTCCTCGATTTGCTTGCGTTCAAAAGATCAGAATGGGCTCTCTGCTCCTTTTTTCCCCCAGGAGATGTTTGTAAAAAGAACCTTTACCATGTTGATTACCTAATTTCATGGAGCCACAGAAACGGAGAATGGGAGAATATTTTCATTGACATTTGTGTTGCTGAAAATGCCAGATCCGCCCAATTACCACCTTTGTGTCGGTGCGAATGAAGGTGGAGTTTCTGTATCTCTGTCTTTCTGTTTCCTTCTCCCATGTAACCTTTTACACCCCCCCCCCCCACAGCTCAAACTCCCACAGCCCATCCCCCCCCAGCAGCACAAATGTCTTCAGCTTGCTGAGCGCCAGCTCCGAGCAGGACAACCCCTCTACCAGCGGCTGCAGGTTGGTCTCGACGCCTATTTTGGCCCCTTCGCCCCGGTCGCTCTCGCTCAGCCCGCCGCTCAAAGGTGCCGCACTCCTGTCCCGTAGCAGTGAACAGTCCGCCAAGGCCAAGACACAGAAGGAGATGTTCAAGACCCTGAAGAAGCTGAAAGTGCACCTGCCCTCAGAGAAGAGGAACAAGGGCAAGTCCAGCACCTTGAACACGCTGAAGTACGCGCTGCGCTGCGTCAAGCAGGTCAAAGGTGAGGCCGGTGCAGCTGGGGGGGGCGTTGTGACATTGACGCTGGGGTGTCACAGGGATGTTAGCTGGGATGACCATGGGGGTCGGCAGGACAGAGCTGCTGACTGGGTCACATGTTCTGCAGCCAATGAGGAGTACTACCAGATGCTGATGATCAACGACAGCCAGCTTCCGGGCCTCGACGTGTCGTCCTACACCATCGCCGAGATCGACAGCATCACCTCAGAGTACACGCTCAAGAATACCGTGAGTCAGAGGTGTTCGGGGGAGGTGTGGGGGTCTTAAAAATTACTGACGGCCCCCAGATCTTAAAGAGAAGGTGGCGTGTGGTTCACTGGGTTGGAATACTGTGCTTGGAATCGGAAGGTTGTTGGTTGAAATCACTGACAGAGTGATGTCACTATTGGGCCACTGAGCAAGGCCCTCAGCCCCCAGTCGCTCCCAGGGACCATGTGTCCCTGCCTTCTCAGAAGTTCACATCACTTGGGACGGAAGCGCCGGTTAAATGAATATAAATCTAAAACGTGACCCGCCCTTGTGCCCAGCAGGACATCTTCGCCGTGGCCGTGTCCCTGATCACGGGCAAGATCGTCTACATCTCCGACCAGGCCACCTCCATCCTCAACTGCAAGCGCGACGTGTTCAAGGACGCCAAGTTTGTGGACTTCCTGGCCCCGCAGGACGTCAGCGTGTTCTACAGCTTCACCACGCCATACCGGCTACCCTCCTGGAGCATGTGCACGGGGGCAGGTACGACCCCGCCCCTGCGGGCCTCCCCGTCACCATGACAACACACCAGCCGGGGACCCTGAAACCGTATCGCACTTATTAATCATTCATATGTGTGTGGACCAGATTTAGGCTTATTTTAAGTCCGCATCTGCCGTCTCTCCGGCTCGGGTTGGAGCGGCTCTTTGGCGTGCAGCATGCATCAGCGAGCGCGACATTTAATCGCATTCATTAGGCTGCCACCTCTCTGTCGTCAGCTTCACTTCGCTCAGCGCCCTGCCTTGTTGTTTCAGAGTCCTCGCTGTCTGACTGCATGCAGGAGAAGTCTTTCTTCTGCCGAATAAGGTAATTTCCTTATAACTGCAAACCTGATGAAGCCGACTTAACTTCCATGTTTTTCCTTCCCATCAGTCTGATGTAAAATTAGCTTAGTCTCACCTTAAAGGACCCTTTGCCCCCCCCCCCACCTCCCTGCTGGACTTTAAGCCCAGGCTGCCCTCTGGTGGACACATGGGCAATTGCAGTGAATGTGTCACAACAAAGTCTCTGTAACCTTCTCTTCATAATCTAATTAAAATGAAACGCTGGAGCTGACATTTGCCTCGCTGGCATATTAACCTTAATTCTCTTTTTGGTGAGTGGAAACAGGAAGTGAGCCCCTGCCCTTTCTCTTTTTCTGAACCCCCCCGCCAGTAATCCTTTGGTATTTTTAAATCGATTCATGGTCCGCTATCTGAGGCACCTCTCCATTTCCCGGCAGCGGCGGGAGGGAGCGTCGGGGGAACCTGCAGTACTACCCCTTCCGCATGACGCCGTACCTGATGAAAGTGCAGGACCCGGAGCTGGCCGAGGAGCAGATCTGCTGCCTCCTGCTGGCAGAGAGGGTGCACTCCGGATATGAAGGTGACATGCATGTAGAAACGCGAGCTGTGTGTGTGTGTGTGTGAGAGAGTGCAGTAACCACAGCTGTTTCCTTCCTGTTTGGCATGATGATAAAACGTTGATGGGTGCTCCTTGAGCTCTAACGATGCGCGTCTCATTTGTGCCAGCTCCCAGAATCCCCACGGACAAGCGGATCTTCACGACGACGCACACGCCCAACTGCTTATTTCAGGATGTGGACGAGAGGTGAGCCCCCCGCCCAGCCCCTGCCTCCTCTAGATGTCTCTGTGCTTTAATCCCCAGTCAATCAGTCATTTATGGAATCATTGACCGAGCGACCGAGGTCTGTCAGAGTTTATCAGAACCCTGCTGTAATCGCCTACTATACTGGACCTGCGTTTCGCCTCCCTTCACGTGTGTGGCATGTGTAAACACAGCGTGTGCACGAGCTAAATGCTGCTGGTGAGATGGTTTAAGCCGGAGTAAGCAGACCGCCCCATTGGGTTGGCGGTCCCCGGAGGCGGGCCTTCACACAGGTGTATTTGTTACCTGCAGGGCAGTCCCTTTGCTGGGGTACCTGCCCCAGGACCTGATCGGGACCCCCGTCCTGCTGCACCTGCACCCCTGTGACCGTCCCCTCATGCTGGCCGTGCACCGCAAGAGTGAGTTCACCTTTTCCCAGATGTAGCCCTGACTGTTCAAGGTGCTAAGTGTTACGCGATGCCCCCCCCCCCAACTTGCCTCACGCCCCCTCCCTCCCTCGCAGTCCTGCAGTACATGGGGCAGCCCTTCGACCATTCCTCCATCCGCTTCTGCGCCCGCAGTGGCGAATACGTAACCCTCGACACTAGCTGGTCAAGCTTTGTGAATCCCTGGAGCCGCAAGGTGTCCTTCGTCATCGGCCGGCATAAAGTCCGCATGTGAGTAGGGGGCGAGTAACGTGGAGTAACTTCATACTCATGTAAAGTACCCATGTGAATAGCTAAAAGTAGCCTCTAAAAGTCCTTGTGTGAGTAGTGAACAGAAGCCATGTACAATCCCCCTGTGAATTTGAGGCGTCGCCTTGCCAGGTTTGCGTGTGCGTTGTGAGTTGCCTCAAGGTCCTTGTGTGAGTAGCAAAGAGGTGCCTCGTAAAGTCTCTTTGTTATTAGTAAGGAGTCTCTTTGTTAGTAGTAAGGAGTAACCTCGTAATGTCCCCATATGAGTAGAAAGGCATGTCCTTCCCAGGCCAGTGTCTGAGTAGCCAGTAACCTTAAACCTTAAGTAAAGGTGGTGTGAGCAGACGAGTGACAGCCCTGTGACTCCCAGGGGCCCCGTGAACGAGGATGTGTTCGCCTCTCCCGACTTCACCGAGGGGAAGATCATGGACTCGGACATCCAGGAAATCACTGAGCAGATCCATCGCCTGCTGCTGCAGGTCTGTCTCGCATATGTCAGTTTAATTAGCAAAACGGAGAGTGTTTTAGCCATTTATCTGCAGGTAAACCATTTGTCCGAGGCTATAGGAGACATTTCTCTGAGCATCTGACTGATGGGATTCGTGCTCACTGTGTGTGTCTGAGTGAGAGTGCATGTTTGAGGTACGTCGGGTTGCTCCTCAGCAATCTCCGGTCCGCTGTCCCCCTTCAGCCTGTCCATAGCATCGGCTCCAGCGGCTACGGCAGTCTGGGCAGCAACGGCTCCCACGAACAGCTGGTCACCGTGGCCTCATCCAGTGACAGCAGCAGCAGCAGCCACGCCCCCGACGAGGCCCGCAAGGCCAAGCCGGTGAGTCGCATATCCGCCAGCCGCGACAGCGCCACTTGCTGGTGGGTGGTTTGTAACTGCAGGGAGGGTTTTGTGTATCCTTCCCTTTTGTTCACTGATGATCTGCCTACCTGTCTTCATCCTCTGGTTCCCGTGGCCCTGCAGAGGACCTTCCAGGAGATCTGTAAGGGTGTCCACCTCCTGAAGAGCCAGGAGCAACAGCAGCCCCCCACAGCCTCCTCGACCAAGGCAGGGTCCCGGAAGAACAGTAAGCCCTTCCTCTTCAACCTCTCATAGCTCATTAAGCGTCTGGTACTGTGTTTACTAATAAACAATTTATTAAAAAGACGGTTACTAGAAGGAGAGTGCCTAAAGAGTCTTGGTCCTCATCAGCTTGGCAAGATGTTGGACTGTGCATGTGTGTGTGTGTGGACTGATAATTAATTGTTTCCAGCAGGGGCTGAGCAGAGGCTATCCGTGGTGCGTGCCAAAGAACCAGCTCCATCTCCCAGCACCAAGGAGAACGCTGGTGCTCAGGAGGAGTTTTCCTATAAAGACCAGACGGTCTACTCCTACCAGCAGATCAGCTGCCTGGACAGCGTCATCAGGTCAGGAGCGCCCAGACCACGAATGGGTCTATCTTCACGTGAATATAATCAGTCAGAATATAATTTACCTTTTGAAACGTTTTTGTAGAGTCTTTCCTCGATGCTTACCTATTGTGGATGTGGTGGTTTCATTTGCAGTTGGGGTGTATCTCACACTTGAATTATGAAGTGAGATGATTTCAGAGGAGAGCTGGGATTAAAATATCAGAGCTCTCTATCTTGGGATAATGTTCGTAGAAGGGCGCCACCTAGTGTTCAGTTGTGATAACGAGGTGTACCATGTGATGGCTGCTACAGGTACCTGGAGAGCTGCAACGTCCCCATCACAGTGAAGAGGAAATGTCACTCGTCATCGAATACAACATCCTCCAACTCCGACGAGGACAAGCAGAAGGTGGCCGACGGCGCTACCCCTGAAGTGCCTGGAGGTATGAAAGCCGGCGGCTCTCTCTGTGTCCCCTGAGAGCAAAGAGGAGGGGTCACTGTCCCGTTACCGCCAGTCCCGGGTTCACAGCTCGGTCTGTCTCGCTCCCCACAGCAGAATCCTCACTGCTAGAGGCCCCAGCCGGCCTGCCTTCTATCAAGGAGCCTAAGAAGCCGGCAGGCCTGGTGGGGGCCTCCCTGACCCCGCTGGCCCTGCCCAGCAAGCCGGAGAGTGTGGTCTCCATCACCAGCCAGTGCAGCTACAGCAGCACCATCGTCCACGTGGGGGACAAGAAGCCCCAGCCGGAATCCGGTACGGGACGGTACCGCACGGCCTGCCTCTTTGGTGGGGGGGTTTCCTCTCTGCAGTCGGGTCAGAATGTAAATAATTTACAAGCAGCTGAAGGGTGGATATTGGCCAACTGGGACAACTTTAAAAATGCTTTCTTTATCACTTCAAACATATGATCGTAATCATAAATGTAAAATCGTAAACGTATTATGGAAAGCTCGAGAGCTGGCCGTTAATAGATCACTGCGTATAGATATGCAGTGTGACATATATAAGTGTCCCAGTTTGCCCTTTGTCCCCATTTAACCAATATTCATGCCAAGGTTTATATTCGTGTCCAGAAGATAAAAATACATGGGGTGGGCCAAGTATAGCAAACGGCTAAGAGTGTATTAGAGAACCTTTTGAGTTCAGTCCAGGGAAAGCTGTCACTCCTACAGTGAACTGTGTGTTGGAATATGGGGAGATCATGGATCAGCGTTTGTCTGTCTGGTCTATGGCCGTTATGTCGCTGCTGCTGAAGGTTCCCACGAGACCAGGGTCCGTCCCCCCCGGCCTATGAGGGCTGCAGGCCCCCACCTGCTTCCTCCAAACCTCTCCCGATGCACGATGGCGCTCTGTGTTTTTGCTGCCCATGGGATTCTGTTAGTCCAACATGCATTGTGTTTTTATTTTTTGTTTTTTTTTGCTGGCAGACATCACCGAAGATGTGGTGGAAGGTCCCACCCCGACGGCGGCACCACTGGCACCTCCTAGCCAGGAGAGGGAGCCCTACAAGAAGCTGGGCCTGACCAAGCAGGTGCTGGCGGCCCACACGCAGAAGGAGGAGCAGGCCTTCCTGAGCCGCTGCCGAGAGCAGCGCCGCGTGCGGAGCCTGCAGGCCAGCTGCTCGCTCTCCCTGCCCCACCAGCGGGGCCAACCCAACACCGATGGTACCCACACGCAGCCGTCTCTATAGCAACGTACACACACACTCCATTCAATGTCGGAGCACAGCATCTTCTGCAGCCTGGTTGGGATACTGCTGAGCCTCGCTGACTGTACCCCTCCCTGCAGCCACCCCCGGCATGCGAGGGACCAAGCATGGCGGGAGCCTAGCTGACCCCGCCCCCAAGAGGGGCGGCCGCAACAAGAAGACTAAGAAGGCGCGCTTGAAGGCCCAGGAATCCTCGGACAGCACGGTGTCACACAGGAAGCAGGCGCCGCGCCCCCCACTGCAGGGCCTCAACCAGACGTCCTGGTCGCCCTCAGAGACCTCTCAGTCCACCTTCCCTGTGGCCTACCCCACCGTGGTGCCCGCATACCCGCTGACTGTCTACCCAGGATCGGGGACCATGGCCCCCGGTGTTGATGCCCCCGTCCCGGGAATGGGGGACAGCCAGGCTGGGCAGGACCCGTGCTTCCCCATGCAGCCCCCACCCTACACCACACCGCTGGTCACACCTGTGATGGCCTTCGTCATGCCCAACTATGTCTTCCCCCAGGTGGGGGGGGCTCCGCAGGCCTCGTTCCCACCCCAGGCAGCCTTTCTGCCACAGCCACAGTTCTCCATGCAGCAGCCCTTCCCTCCCCAACAGCCCCTGCCCCCACACGCCCCTTTTGTGCCCCAAACGCCCTTCCCATCCCAAACCATGTTCCCCACCCCATCGTTCCCGTACGGCCTGCCGCCGGAGCCCTCGAAGGCCCCCAGCCCCGAGCTCCGCGACGCTCCCTCCCGCTGCTCCTCCCCCTCGTCAGCGCCACGGGACACGACCTCGCCGCCGCTCTTTGAGTCGCGCTGCAGCTCCCCGCTGCAACTGAACCTGCTGCAGCTGGAGGAGACGACGCGCTGCGGGGAGAGGCAGGACGGGGCAGTGCGGACGGGGAGCAGCGCACCGGGGAGCAGCACCGGTGACAGGGCGGGCCAGGCCAACAAAGAGCTGCAGCAGGTGAGTGAATCCCGGAGCACCCTGACTTTTTAGCCGAGATATCGGTGCCGCCTCCATGCCAGCCAGGGTTCAGGACCTAAGAAGCTTTTCTTTTTTTTGGTCCCACCCCCTGGTAGATGGGCTCGCTGGACGAGGGTCAGCACAGCGACGCTCATTCCTCCTCCAGCGACATGATGGACATTGTGCTGCAGGAGGACTCCCGCTCGGGCACCGGCTCAGCCACCTCTGGCTCGCTGGGCTCTGGGTCCAACGGCTGCGGCACCTCTGGCACAGGTCGCTCACCGCCACCACCTGCCTCTCTTCTGGCTCCCCCCCCCACACCATTCTCATCACCCCCATCCTTTCACTCCCCCAGGGAGCAGCCAGACCAGCAACACCAGCAAGTACTTTGGCAGTGTCGACTCGTCTGAGCACGAGCACAAGGCCAAGGCAGCAGGGGGCGATGGGGAGCACTTCATGAAGTACGTGCTGCAGGATCCCATCTGGCTGCTGATGGCCAACGCAGATGAATCGGTCATGATGACCTACCAGCTCCCTACGCGGTGAGTGCCTTCACCCCTACTTAGGGCTTCCCAGGGCCCTGCTTACCCTCCAGCACCTACTCAAATGCTTACTGCTGTCCTGGAGCCGAACCACATAAATCCTATAAAGGACAGCTTTCTATGGGCGTGCAGTCATGGGCGGAGCTAAGGGGCTATACTATGGCCACCACTAGTGATTACTGCCTCTCCCCAGGTTACGATGGGGTTATGTTCCGATAAACCTAACGTAAGTCGAAAATGTATTTTAATACATTTACATTAGCCTACAGTTGGGCGAAATCATTAACACAAAGCCAGTTTTATAATAAAGTGTTTAATATCTCATGCAATTTATTGAATAATGGACTGCAAGTGAAAAACATTTTTAAAAAAGTCTAAATATCATAACACGGAGAGCGTCTGTACATGGCCCTCCACATCAGAACATTAAATAAATAATATTCATTATTTCATTTTTTTTAAGCGGGACCATATAAGACCCACAATATGGTGTGGCCACCCCCAAAAATATAATAAGTCCCTGACAGCCTCCCCATTCAAAAGTTTCTGCAGACCCCACTGCATGCAGTTACTGTGTTTGGCCACTAGGTTACAGTGTTGTGCAAGTACATGAGCCTTTTCTTGTAAAATGCCCGCTGAGTTTAAGCTTATTTACCTGTGGCGCCTCTGAAGACTGGAATCGCCCCCTTGTGTGTCATTGAGGGTCAAAAAAACGGTGAGATTTTCAGGTGTTTATGGGTGCCACTCTGCTTTGGCTTCTAGGGACATGCAGAAGGTGCTGAAGGAGGATCGGGAGCGGCTGCGGCAGATGCAGAAGAGCCAGCCGCGCTTTTCCCAGGACCAGAAGAAGGAGCTGATGGAGGTGCACCCCTGGCTTCTAAAAGGGTGTCTGCCCAAGGCTGTCGACGTAAAGGTGGGTCTTTCATTTTTTTTCGTCATAATAGTGGGGGGCACGTGATCTGTGCCGCATCCAGGCAGCACCAGCAAGTGAATGACCAGCATGTCAGAAGGTTGTATCTTATGTCCCATGTGCAGTTCAGTAAAATGTGACTCTGTATTTGTGCAGAAGTGTATGTGCTGTGAGGTCACACGCCCGTCGGGCCCCATCGACGACGGCCTGCCTGGCATGGAGCTGGGCACCCTGGGGGATGCGAGTGAGGATGACCCTTGCCGGAAGGGTGGAGAAGTGCCCCCTACAAGGCACACGGTTCCCGACAAAGAGCCTCTGCCCTTCAGTAATGCGTAGCCTGTGGCCACACCGACGCACTGTTCGCGAAGGCCCTGTGTGCACTGTTGCAGACTGACACAGCCCCCAGGCACAGGCAAGTCCCATGTTACGCACACCTTCATGCTTCAGTGGTGACTCACCACTAAATGTAGACCCCCCACCAGTCTGAGCCCGGGATCCTGAGGTGTTGACACTGTGTTGGGAGCCTCGGAGCCTTCGGAAATGCGTTGGGGGCAATGCTGCCTGCCCAACACGACCCAGGAAGGAGGCAGTGAAGCGTCTGTCGGCGTGTCTGTCGGCGTGTCTGTCGGCGTGTCTGTCGGCGTGTCTGTCGGCGTGTCTGTCGGCGTGTCTGTCGGCGTGTCTGTCTTTGTCTTCATTTGTGTTCATGGGTTAGCTTGTAAATCAGGGACTCGTCATTTCGCCATTTTCTTAGTGTCCCTGGTGTCCCTATGTGTCGTTTCCCTCTGTTTTTATGTTTTAATATCTGAGACAATATCATGAAGTTCTGAATGCTGTCAGGCACATCAAGCAGGGTTTACTAAACTTTTATATGTGAGGGAGTGTGCTCTTTTACTGAAGTCCCCCGTGTAATTTTACGGGAGAGATGATCAGCTTTTGTTTGGCATATAATTAGATATAGAATTTGAAATCCAAATATTTATATTCTTTTCTTTAAATTACTTTACTTTGAAAATATGTGCGTTTACAAATCAATTGGCCAATGTTATTTACAAAACTTTGGACTATTTTCACAAAGCAGTGAAAAGAATTCATGCAAATTACATTTTGAATGTGTACTTTGAAAATGTATTTATGAATCACTATGCTTTAGCACTGATTTCTGTGACGTGTATAAGTAATTACGATTCACGATTGCCTCCTTTTGGATGGTGATTGCTCTAAAATCCCAGCAAAATCGACAGGTTGGTAATTCTGCCAAAATGTATGGCAACTTCCTGAATATTCTATATGAAAGCATTGTCAAAAGGCTTTCTATGGCAAACCTGATGGATTAAGAAGGGAGAACTATTTCCGCTGCTACTATATATAAGGCCTACAGCATGTGTTGACTGTCTGGACCAAAACAACCTAGCAAACTGTGTTATACCTGTTGTTTAATGTAAAGCTTGCATTTGTCCTGTGAAAAATGTTGTGAGAAACAAGTTAAAATTTATTTGCAATTTTCCCCAGTGAAGTTTGTATTGTGTTAGCATTAGGTCACAAATATATTTTTCAAACCAATGACTGTTGTCAGTATTGTTTTGTAACTGAATGTGCAGCAATGACTGTACTAGAAAATTACCTATAGAGGGTGATCAATTTCTGAAAAGTAGTTTCCCCGTATTTCAAGGTGCACTATTTTCTGAAATTAACGCGCATTGCTATTTTAGGGGTTCTAATAATTTTGCATCGGACACATTCTCTGTATTTTTTGTGGTGGTGTAGCAATGTCTGCTTTTTTTCACAGAGTTCATACAAAAGTTTAATAAAAAGAAACCAATCGTTTTTTAAAGAAAAGCGACTATGTTGTTAATCTGAGGCATGTTCTGTGTTAATTCATTGGGTTGTGGGCTGTCGTCTCCGTGCACCCCCGTCCTACCCTTTGTTCTCTCTAAACCCCCACCGCACGTCAGACCCTCATTTTCTTTTGTCTCCGTGCGGTAGTCGGGAGGTGTAGAGATCAGCGCGGACCTCATCCGGATGCGCGTCTCTCTTTCTTTACCTCCCAGCGAAGTACGTCTCTCCCTTTACCCGCTTTCGGCGGCCGACTGCAGAAGCTGAAAAGGCTGAAGAAAGTCGGCTGTCTCTCCCGGCAGTTTAGCCCACCCATGGCACCATTTCCCTATTATAAGCAGCTAATGTGCCAGCATCGAATCTGGGTTTCCGATGTAACTATAGCGTGACGACATGCCATTTAGGGAACCCTCACTCGTTTTTATTCAGTACTATTTATCTAATCAAGGAGCTGAACTCAACAGCCAATGACAATATTGATTGAGAATAAATAAATGTGTGTCGGTATTCTTTTAGTTTTTTGGTTCTGTCCAAATGTGGAAGCGGAATAAAACAACCCAGGTCGGTTTTGAAGAGGCCTTATGTGTAAAAGCGATCGCTGCTAAAAGGAGCTGATTTACACGGGCACAGAAAAGAGAGGGGCTGTATTTGTAAATAAATGCTGGTAATTATTTAACTTAAGCATTGTTCATGTCCTGCCTTACAATAACCCCAAGGACAATGTCTTCACGGATGATGGATACTGTTCCCGAATGAGTTGCACATGTTTAGAGTAAATAGAGTATTCATTAAACCACCCAATTTGCATAAATTTGCAGTTACTTATGTACTAATCATCACTAGGGGGGTTTTCTGGACTTTAAAAGCCCTTTGCCGGGTTTGCTTCTTCTGTCATGTCGACTTTTGTTTCAGGTTCCGAAAATGAACAAAGCCCAAGCTTTGGTTTTATATCTCAGGAACGTTCATATTCGGAATCTTCATGCCAGCCTTGGAACATGCATGTACTCTGAAATATAAAATGAACACTATTTTAGCTTATTTTAGTTCGCTGTGACTTATAGCTTTCGAAGCACTAGCCCGATTAGCCTTCGGGCGGATGTTAGCTTGTAGTTTTTTGCCTACTGGGGTTCCAGCCGAGATCAAAGGTTTCGCTTGTCAATTTATGGATCCTTGTCCTGACACCTTCCCCAGTTTTGCAGGAGTGTGAATCCCTACAATCACACCTCCGGAGAAAGATCCCCCTAACTCCGTCTCTAGAGCCGCCCTGTCACCTGGCGAAAGCGAACCAGTGGTTTGATGTGCGGCGTCATACGATACAGCAATAAGCGTTGATTTCAGATTATTTTAATTGATCCCGGGGGAAAATTCTTAGTCATTTATAAAATGATTTACAGACGGTTTGACCCCACGCAAAACACTTTTTAATGCAAATTGTGTACATTCTACTGCAAGCACTACAGCGCAGACTCCACATTTTTTTATATTTTATACTTTAGATTCTGAAATCTTATACTTAAATAACCATAAATTAAACCTATTCGCGTGGGAAATACGAACTGTTTTGCCGGTGCATACATGTTGATCTCACACTGTCCCGTTGGTTGTTGTCTGACTTAACGACATTCCACCACTGGCGGGGGATTCCACGGTTATTTTCGGAAACTGCCGCGTGGGACTGTCTGATCCCAGAAACCAGTTTTATGAACTGGTTGTCGGTGTATTCGGATGCGACGGAATCTGCGGTATTTGCTTTTATATCTTTTATATACATTCGGTTCGTCGGTTTTGAAACATAATTACTATACAACGAGAACTTGTGCTCAGGTTTACTTGAGCGTTTTTAGTTACTGATGTGCAAAGCATAGACTACTATATGTTCTGTAAAGGTAAAATTACAAAACCAATTTAAGACAGATTGTGATTGTCAGGCGTAAAATTAATGTCTTGTCAAAACCAATACCCATGTATGATTTACATTTACTTTTTTCTCTCATGTTTCGATATATCAAAGCTGGTTGCTTGTAAAATTAAGTAACAGCAGATTAAAGACGCAGCATTAAAGACGTCATTTTCACCTTTCATGCTTCAAAGCCGTGTGTGAGGCCACACCGAACGATCACCGTCTTTGAAGGCGACAATTCGGCGCTTTTTCGGAAAGGAAATTGTGGCCTGTCTGCAGTGTGATAAAAGCGAGGGCGGGGAGCAACATAAACGGTTTTAAATAATGTAGGTTTCTGATTTTTATGATACTGGTCTGTACCTGATCAATCCATGGAACAGGGAGGGTGATACATTTTGAATTGTTCCCACAGCATAGATAACAACTGGTAAATACTGTTCGTGTTTATTTGGCAAATCATGGTGGAGGAAAACGGTATAACAAGAAAATAATTCACCATGCTCCAAAACATGCGCGAATTGAGGAAAAAATGCCGCACAGGTGTATGCCTACTTGGAATAGAATTACATTTAAAAATACGAATTAACAAATCTGCAGTATGACTAGAATCTAATCACGTATATCTGAATTAAATTAGTTTATTAATACATTTTAGACCAAGTCACTAGACATACACAGAAAATACACGTACGGTGCATCGACCTATTGGCGGCACCCGCAATTAATGTCTGACTATCAAAAATAACTTCTATTTCTAGTTAGTAACGTACCTATACCTTCACTGAAGGCAGAGACACATATCTGCTGAGCGTAAAATAGTTCATAGCACATTCTGCCGATAATATGAGAGAACCGTGAATGCTTAACTTTCTGTGTATTTAACTAAGTTTGTAGTTCAGTTGAAATCCAAGTTAAAATGCCCTTAATTTGGTGACACTTCCACTAAAACGACTTATTTGGGCCTACAAAACAGACAGCCATCGGGTAACAGTCCTGACGGGAACAGTGCTGGAAGCTGCTTTCACAAATCACTTCCATCAATCGCATATAACATGTTATTAGTGGAAGTCTGAATGATATCCAACTGAAAAACATGAACGTAGTTCACGCTTCTCGGTACAAATTGTGGTCCTGGATACAGTCCTACCACGGTCTCCATATAGATTTGAAATATGCCGTCGTGGGTTGGACTGCATGGTCTTCTGAGGAATTATGACTGTGCTCCACATCGGTTTCATCTAGGTCTGAATAGAAGTCATCGCTGGATGTAGTGGATGGCGCTGGGGAGAAGGCGGAGGTGACTTCGCGTATCCCCCCTACTGCGGCCGAAGTGACACCACTCCCATTGCCGGTAGGCAAAGTGCTGTTGTTGCTGCTGTCGGAGACGTCCGACATTAAATCCACAAGCATGTCCTGGAAATTGTCTTCGTTCAGAGGCATGCATTCCAGAAGATGATTCAGGAGCTCCGCGGCGACCGTAGGGTCGATGCCCGGACAGCTGGACACGTACATGTGCACCTCGTGCATACACTGGATGTAACCGGCTGCAAAGCGCTCGCTTGCCTCGCGATTCATAGCGTCAGATTCTGTCAAAACATACATGGAGGAAGTCAAGTACTCCCGCCCGCATAACTGGGGAAAAGCATCCTTATCACGCTTTATAGATATCAGGTGCCTGGACTCGGTAATATTACCCAAGAAAAAAATTACAAAACCTACCTTGGGATCGATTTCTGAGGACATGCTCAACTCGTTTCACAGTCATTTCAAGCACCTCAGCATTCTCCATTTTAGATTGTAACTGTGGGAAACATGTTGGTGATGTGATTATGTTTAATCCAAAAAAAAAAAATAAAAAAAATGCAGATGTGGTTTAAATTCGCCTCTACAAAACAAATAACTTTACAGATGTTAACATTAACTGAAAACTTACATCAGTGTCAGAGAGCAGAATCCTGAGTTCTTGCAAGCTTTCATTAATTCGTGCCCGTCTCTTCTTCTCCACCAAAGGTTTTCTTGCCTGTTGAAAGGGAGGGTGATGCACACGGTAAAACTGCAAATTATATCGCGGGGTTCAGTTTAAAGTCTCCTACGGGTACAGTCACTGTCATTACCTTTCTGTCTCCTTTAATCCCGTAGTATTCTTCCTCAACGGCGCCACATTCAGCTTTGTTAGCTCGGAAGACAGGGGCCATGTTGGTTGTAACCCAGGCTAAGAAGAAAGCGGTGTTTGTAATCCACAGTTAAGGTTGGGATTCTCGGGGGCAGCTGGCAGACGTACGCAATAGAGCCCCCAGCAAATAGTCCAGCGAATAGCACGGCTTAGGCAGAATACGCTGTTAGTACCTTTAGCTTGTAGGTGGTATTTATACGGTCAGATTTACATATCAATAAAAGGTTTGGCCACATTATTCAAGAAACACCAGAGCGCATTCAGTTTCAGCCAATCAGCGCGCAGCGCATTGTCTTTACTGCGGTTGTAGTTGCGGCTTGCGGCTCGAACTGGGGGAGGACCCGAGTTCACCGGCAAAAGTGACATTTCGCAGGCAGCGTCTTACTGGGCGAGATTCAAGTAAAGTCACTTTGTCATTTCACACACACGAAACAAAACTGTATTTCTGCCCAGCATCAGGCAGCTAGAACAAAGGACAACTGAACAATAAACACTGAACAATAAATACTGGATACGTAAACTAAGTCAGAACAATTAATGTGCGATTTGTTATGCGGCCATTCGTCTAAATTCTACGCTTATTCTAATTATCTTATCAATTAGGCATCAAAGTTGAATTCTATCTGAACACGTTTATACTAAGCACTTCATATTATACACTAATCTATATAAATTAATCTATATGGTTTGTTTTTCTTGAAGTGGTAGAGTACACGCGCACTACTAAAGCAACTTTAACGCAAATTAACTTAAATTGTCATTTAAAGCACACATTAATATATGTTTAATGTGTTAACAGAAACGTCATATACACATGCCTACACGATAAGAAAGATCTTAACTAGCTTAATTCGAAAGTATATTAGGCTAAAACAAATAACAACACTACCGCTATGATCGTCTGTAGATATGAAGTGCAATATTCAGTACGTTATTTACCCTTATAACAGATTTAAAAAATAGTCAATCATTGGATTTTCTGATACAGTTATTGGTACAATGCAACAAGTTCTAAGCCTGCCCAAAACACAAATGTATATGAAACGACCTGAAATGTACTGGAATTCTATTTGAATTGCCACCAGGGCATTTTTTTCAACTCCGAATTATCTTTGCGTTGGTGCCAAAGAGACTATGCAAGTGAAATTACGGGTTAAATTAGAGGGGTTTCTGCGTTTCATCCTTTTATGCTTTTTGTTGTTCCCCTTTATTTGACTCTCGAGGGGACTCGCCTGCGAGGTCCCCTGAATGTAATGCGATGCCGACAGTTGGCAGCTGCAAACTGCAGCCCCTCAGACTAAATGAATTTAATCAGGGCACCGACGGCCGGTCCCCAAAGAAAGTGACAGGTGTTGGCTCGCGCTTCATTTGTTCTCGATCTTTCGGAGCCCCCCCTCTGATTTGCTTGCGGCTGCATATTTAGGTATTTAAACATAGCATAATCACAGCCAGTTTAAGCTTTGTCGGGTAAAGGGAATATTTATAAACATGTCTGAAAGTGGTTAATATGTTTTGAATGGGTTATTTGAGTGATGTTTGGTCTGCTAGTAAGATGCGAAGAGCCACACGCGTTTAGCTAGACTGTTAGAACAAGATGGTGTATTAGGTTACAGCACTCTTTGCAGGTAATATAAGTAGATCATACGCGTTTACGTTCTAAATTTCCGTTTGTGCCACAGGTTCACAATAATGGGGTAGTAAAACAGATTCCAGCATAAAAGCACTGTTCCTGCCCTTTGAAATGGAAGACTTTGGCACCTCGTCGTCGTCCCGCTCCTTGCCTCCCTGGTTTATCCTCACGCTGCCTTTGAAAAGCAGCTCGTAGTTACGTCGCCTGTAGTCGCTTTGATTTTTTTCGCGTTACGGTACTTTTTGTGAAGCGGCAGCAGTCGTTTTTGCCCCCGTCGACTTATTCATTTCATGTTTATTGATTGCACATTTGACATGCCTTCGTTTACACATAGCCTAAACCTCAGAGAGTCGAGAGAGAACTTTGAATAACATAAACTGAGGCGAACATTACGTGGTAATCATGTTCGTGAAGTCCAATAGTTCGTGAAGGGCATATTACAAATACTTTATTTATTGCCCTCTCTCTCTCTCTCTCACACACACACACACACACACACACACACAGATAGATAGATAGATAGATAGATAGATAGATAGATAGATAGATAGATAGATGGATGCAAAAACTTCTTTCAGTCAAACAATTTTAAGTAGGCCTATTGACTTACGTGACACATTAGGTTATAAGAAGCTGGGGGTGGGGAGGAGGGCTCTTTTTGAAATTCCTGCTTTCCATGAGATATAAAAAAACTCTGAGAAAAATAATTATTTTTATGGCAAGCCTGGTATAATATGGGCAGAACGTAAATTTGGAGGGTAAGAAAAAATGGACAGTGTGCCCGGATTCAAGCTCAGTTGGCGCCTCAATTCAGCAATTATGGCATCATTCTTCAAATATACCTCAACGATGTATATAGCCTAATGTGTTTCTGTGTGCGTTGCATTGTTTAAAGAGTCTGTGTCATTACACAAGTAATGAAAAACGCCTACACCCTCACTTTTTAAATTAAACATTACTGAAAAGTGTTGCTGAATGAAGAACCGGATGTTGCCTGCGGTAGAGGAAACGTTCGCTTTTTGATGTTGATATCAGGGATATATTGACAGACATTACGCATTTCTCCCTGTGACTTCTAGTTGGCTCTTCAAAAATAGCTTCTCAGCCTACTTCTTTTGTCGTGCACACAGCTGGACAGTGTGGGCAATACACTAAAGCGCTTCGCTTAATTTTGCGACGTCAGGACCCTGCATGTGCCATGAATCGGTAAGTGTCTGGTCCTTGTCTAAGTCTTGTCCTCCGTTATACCTGTTGATTAGACCACGTTATAAAGGAAAAGCAATCAGAGACTTTAATGACATGTAAACATAACCGCCTGTGATTTCTAATGAAATATCTGCATAAATATCATACAGATGTAATTTGATGTTGGGATAGTGTAATGCTCATAACGTCATATGACGTGCTTGATGAAACGTCACATCGCTTTGCATTATAAACTGTGGAATGCAGTTGTCTTGAAGCATGGTAACTAACCTTAAAAAAAGCATTTTTTTCTATTTGGAAACGCCACTGATGTGACAGTGTGAGATGTATTTCGGGTGTAGGGCTCTGTTTTAGTATATTTAATATGTGAAATTTGGGAAATGGGAATATTTCATTTAGGTTAATATTTTAACCAGAATTGCTTGGCATTCATACTTAGTTATATTTGTGTGATATGTTCCCAAAATATTCGAATGTTACTCTATGTTTGGATAGTCAAATAGGTGACGGGTGTAATGCAGATCTTCACAGAGTAGGTTACGCCTGGTGAGCAACGTGTGGATTAAATATTCATTTTATTATTATTGGGTTAATACGTTTACATACAAAAGAGGGGAAATAATCTAAAGCAAGTATTCCTTATTAAATAAATTAAGAGTTAATACAATAAATAGCTGAATAATAGCCTTCTACAATGCAGGCTACAAGAGGTTTACTTCTGTGGAAGTACTGAGGTCTGCAGCACATCTATTCTGGAACAGGACTGCCCCACAAGTGCTCTGAGAAGCATATCTATAAGATACATAAGGAAAAGAGTCTACACGCAGATCAAAAACAAAACCAGAGGGCTGCCTCAGTTTGCTCCCGTCACCACGGCCGCCACATGTCAAGTGTGGCTATGTGCTGGTTGTTAAATAGCTGGTTGCCCGGTAACAGGAGCGCCTTATCACGGGTGCCCGCGCTCTGCTGGGCCTTGGCGGCAGCCCCGCCGAACGCACGGCTTGAGGGCAGCACAGGGCCGGCGCTGCAGCTTTCCTGCGTTTGCTGAGGAGGCGGGGCCATGGACGTCACGGCGGGCGGGGTATCCTCGGTAGCACGCGGGAGCGACTTGAGCAGGTGGTTGAGCAGACGAGAGCCTAGTGTTTTATCCATCCACTCACAGGTTAGCAGCAGATTGTGAACCTCGTGCATACACTGGATATAGCCCGTGCTGTATTTCTGCTGGGCCTCTAACCCTACGGTGGAGTCAGCTGTAATAAAAAGAGTGGTTGAACATGAGTCACGGCTCTTAGGCCTATAGGTCGCTATTAAGACGGAAGATCATCTTTAAGGTGATCTCGTGAAACGCGTGTAAACGAAATGAATGGAGAGCCGGTTTATCTTCATTGTGTTGTAAAAGCTGCGCGTATACTGCCCCCCGCAGTCCAAAATAAGAACGGCTCTTAAATAAACATCTTCGCTTTCTCTCAAATTTGCTTATCCTAGTACTTATTTTTGAAGTTTTGGGTATCCACTTACCGGCGAATTTGTTGCTCTGAATATTCTGCAGATGCTTCACTGTCATTTCAAGAATATCAGCCTTCTCCAGTTTAGATTGCTGCCATGAAATACACGAATATTTTACTAAAAGAAATACTTTTAGAGAGTAGCTACCACATAGTACAGCTATTTAACTCGTTTCTATACCGAGGTATAGTCTTATAGTCTCATACTTACATCTAGTCGGAAAGCGCCGACCACGGTTTCTTTCAGTTGATCGAGACAATTATTTATTCTTTCTCGTCTTTTTCTTTCAATTAGTGGCTTTCTCAGCTAAAATCGAAACATATACCAAATCAGCCGCAGGCATCAACAAAACTAGCATTAGGAACTGCATATCATCCTGACATCTCGGACTAATCCAACGAGATTACTTTATATTTTTGTTAAAGCTCTTTGTACCTTTCTCTCTTCTTTAGCGCTCGACAATTTCTCCACGTTGTGGGTCACGGCGGTGGCCGTCATCTCCCTAGCTTGGTGGATATGAACCGCGACTTTCCCCTGTTCTCTCTTGGAGCGGATTCTGTCTCGTCTTTAAGGCCTCCGCGCTCTGCTCTCCTCTTATTTATAAGGGCAGGATTAGCATGTGAATGTGGGAGCTCTTTGGCTGAGGTATTTTCCCACACATGGGGTCGATCCCAGTGGCCCGCTCCCATCAGTCAAGACTGACAGGTCACTGCTTCTTTTCAATAGCTGCGCTGCCCGCCCGATAAAGAGAAAAAGCGACAGATGTCCAGCCTGGAAATGTGCACCCTAGTGAAACCTTCTGTTTCGCTATTAGGGCGCGTCACGTGGTCCGCGGCGCGCGGAGCGCTGGCCCGGCGTTCCCAGGCACTAACAAGAGTCTGCTATTACTGGCGTTACACTGGGGACGGCGCGGCCCTTTCATTCTCAATGAATCGGGACAGCATTACCGGAGAAAAGGCGAAACCTATCCCCTGAGGTCTCGCAGAATACGTTCTAACGCCCATTCTCCTTAGACTTTTTCCCCTGGACGGTGTCGGTTATTGTTTTACCTAGTGTCGGTGTCCTGACGCATTGGAAACAGTGCAATGAGATCATAACGCATTATAACCTTCCATATTGTTTCTTATTCATTGTTCATTTCAAAATAACCATAATTTCGAGCCCCTATGACTCTGCTCAGGATAAGTGGTTGGAAGATGGGTGGTTGGATGGATGGAAAAACAACAAATCCCAGCGCGTGTGCAATGTCATTCAAATAGGCCTGCAATCCTGATTTGTTCCTGAATAAAACATAAAGCCAGCAGTACTATACAAATATTCCAAACAGTGCTCGGGGAAAAAATAAATGTTCATAACTTCTGTCTTAATGTAATTAATTGTAATGACTAATAATTGAAAACTAATTTTTGGGTTGCTGGGAAAAATATCTAATTTTTCAGCGAACAGAGGCGCGATCACTGAAAATCTGGAACATCTGTTATATATTTTTTTCATCCCTTCTTCAATGGAGGGGGCAGATGTCCCGCTCGCTGGTCGCCGCTTTTGGGATTCATGGCAGCGGGTCTGTTTGACTTGAGACACGCGACTGCCAGGCGAATGCCGGGACGTGGGAAACTGCGCCGGACAAAAGGCGAGCATTCAGCTCTATTTAATCGCCATGAAGAATGTAATAACTCACAAAGAACCGGTGCAGGCTACCTCTGCAACTTCTCCAAGAGGAAGTGCCCAGAGGAGCGTTTCGACAGGTGCAAACGACTGGTGTGAGGTGACAGGTGCTGACATCATAATGCCAACATGTGTGGCCGGCCGCCTGACGAAGTATTTGATTGTATATGGATTACAACGTTCATGTACTGGAATTTTTTTTTGCAGTTTTAAAATAACTAACGCCGTCTTGCTGAATATTCAAGAGCTCGTGCAGATTACTGTGACTGGACGGAGTATGCCTATTTGACACAGGGCTAATCAGAATCGGAATCAATTTTATTAGCCAAGTGTGCATGCATACAAAGAATTTCGCGTGGTGTAGGCGTTTTGCTCCTCATACTCACAGAACACAAAAACAAACAAACAAACAAACAAACAAAAAAACTAAAGGTAAACTAAACTTACAAACTAAAACAAAATATAGGGAAATGTGATAAGGAAAAGTTATAAAAACAAGCATGAAATTATGTACTGAAAATAAATTTTATGTGTATTATTTATTGAGTTATTAAATGAATGTTCGGGCTATGGTATTATTATAGACGTAATAATTCGACATTTAAGTTTTAATATAAGATTCGTCGCGGTCATCCTGAAAAAAAAAATTAAAACATTATGATTAATCTTTCGCGTCTATTATTTCTTGATGGAAGGTTAAACGTAGGCCTACTTGTCATTCGCCTAAAAGTGATTTTACAATCTATCCACGAGACGACGGACGGGTAGCCGAAACTGCACGTGCGGCACTGCTGTACATATTCAGGAAATTGGTCCCCTCTTTAAAAACAGAAAACACCTGTAAATCTGAATTTAAGGATGAATGATGCTAGTCCCTTTTGTCCGAAATTCCCTGAGGCTTAGCGTATTCGCCGAATGTGGCGAGTGTTTGAAGATCTAAAGAGCTTCATGGGGAGTGAAGGGGCTCGCTCAGTACAATGGACCCCGCACAATGCGCAGAAAGACATCTGGCCACGCGACCTGCGTGCCGTCAGGCGCCGCCTTTTTAATCAGCGGCTGCCGGCACCCAACAGACGGCAGCACATTAATGCTGGGCAAGTGTCCCGCACTGGCATAAAGAAGGAAAGGAAAAAAGCAGCCGTGAAACGGGGACAAGCCAGGCAGACCTTCCACGGCCGCCTCACAACTTTCTATCGCCTTACTGTAATTAACCGGGGAACTGTTTTGAGCGAACTTCAGTAGGCAGATATTCCATCTAGAAATCAATATCTATACTTTGACATGATCGAAGGAAAGTTGTGAATATGTAACAGGGCAACTAACAAATTGTATTTGCATCAAATCCATAGCTTACCAGATGAGGCACGCTGGGAAATACGAATAACTTGTTTTAGACTATCACTGCATAAATCTGCTGACCACTCAGAGCGGAGGATTATGTCACCCCAAAGACCGAATTACAGTTTCTCTGGTAGCTGGTTTGGAGTTCTTTAGAGGTATTGTAGGGAGGACTTAAGGATTCTGCGCTCATCTGCCCCACCATCTGGCCACGCGTCTCCAAATCAGAATTAGCGTGGGAATGACAACACCACAAAGGCCTCTTTTCACTTACCCTTCCAGCGGACACTGCGGCTTTCCAGACCCAGTTTACTAATTAGAATTATTTCTATTCTTGTGAACGGCGGACTTGGTTCCCGAGAAATAAGCCTATATTCCGTTTTAAAGGCTGCCATCGTTAGGCATAGTTTAGTAGGCTATTACCACACGTCATGCCGCATTATTAAACCACACCTAATCCATGGACTGACACGGCGGAGAAACATTTTAAAATTCCCATTAACTTTAATTTATCTTTTATCCATCTCATGTTATCACCCTTTTGATCCAAATTGCAACATTATAAAAAAAAATTATAAACTACAGAAATAATCTATTCTATAACAAATCCTTTCAAGTCAGCGTTAACTGCGCCATACATTGTGTTACAAATTTATGTAGGTCAAAGGTTAGCCGATATTTTGTTTACTTGCGCAACAGACGTGACAATAGGCCGGTGCAGTGAAACACACGAGCGCCCTCTTGCGTCGTTGGTAGGATCGCACACATTGCATTTAATACATTAACCGGATGCGCAAACTCCTCATATTGCGCTTCCACTCTGCGGAGGACGGACTTTCACTGAGCAGCAATGTAACACTTTACTGTATTTAAATCAGATTTAAAGATACACGTATCATGAATGTATCACCATCGCAGTGATACAAGGGGCTTAAATGCAAAACATTCGTAAAAGAAAATTAAAATAATAACATAAAACACACCGCGCTTTAGTGGGGGGGGGGGGTGAAATAAAGTTATGTTGAATCTTCACTAGGACTTCTTTGTATTTCTTGCACATGAAAATTTTAATGTAAGGGGCTGTTGTTATTTCGATTAATGTCAATGACGTTTATAAGAAGTGGACAAAAAGACACACTAATGGCAGGGAAGCCGGAAACGATACTGCCTGGGAGGAAAGCAATGGGGCAATCGGGCTTTTACGCAAGGCCGAGACGCTAGTCTGCGGAGTGGCGCTGCTGCTGTGACCAGCGCCCGCCTTGCGGGGCGGTGTAGACCCGGCTGCTTGCTTGCCTGCCGACGAAGCGGAAACGGAAAAAACGCACAGACAGAGACGCACGGAGAGACACGGAGCGCCCGGAGCATCGGAGTCCGAACGCAGCGGCGACGACGCGGGGCGCTGGCAGCACGGAGCGCCGTAAAGGCGGCGGAAAGAAGCGGAACGAGATCGACAGCCCGGTGGCGCTTTCCACCTCCAACTGGAATATTTCAATATCAATAACAACAGAACAAGAACGGCGATAATAACACGGCGAAGCGGGCGTGTTGGCAAGGTTTGTGGCGGAGCCGCGGGCGCATCATGCAGGCTGCGCGCACGGAAGCTTCCCGGGCCTCGGGAGGCTGGGCGCGCGGCGGAGGAAGCTGCAAAGTATAATAAAAAGAACAAAATACGGGCTCGGCTGATAAAGGCTTAGCATGCATGCTTTTGCCAGGTCTACGTCGCCCTGCAAGGCATGCAGGCTAAGCCCTTAGCACCAAAGCCATTATTCTGCCCTTTTCATTTCTCTTTGCAGCTTACCCCGGTCGGCCGCTGCAATTATTCCAGCGGGGCGGCGTTTGTCGCTTTGTTATCGAGTTGTACACATCGGAGTTAACGGGGAAGCGGTTTCAAAGGCTCGGTCCAGTTATCCGGGGTTGTGGTTACGGTTCTGGTTAGTGATGAGCTGAAGAAGCGATGCGCCTTCCCGAAGGCCCGCCCCAGCGCGGCCCGGAGCGTTTGCCCATTATGCCTCCGCTTGTTTCGGCCGGTGTGCAGTACCCTCACGTCCTTCGTCGCTTTGCGCGTTTATGTTGTGTTTTTCTGTAGTGCTGTTACAAGGCTGGATCTGAGACCGATGGAAGCGCTTCAAACGCATCTCCCATGCTAGTGGGGTTATGGCTTTCGACAGTTGGGCATTATTTTAACATTATTGGGGGTCCATGGCTTGATCGGAGTCTCTCCTGGTGGGCCGTTCTGTCTCCCGTTACAGGCTGCTTCGGTGCCCGTAGGTACGTGAGCCGTGGTCGGGGTGTGACGGAATGAATGTGATCGGCCTGCCCATTCATTCACACTACAGGACGGTCTTGATCCGGACACGAGGGAGAGAGTCCCATGCGTAGCCGCACTGACCGTGTGTGTGTGTGAGAGAAAGAGAGTGAGTGTGAGAGAACCCCAGCACTGTGTCAGGCCGCCTTTCAGCGTTCAATCGGCCACTCAGGGTCCGTGTTTAAACGGCGCCTGACAGCAGCTATTGGCAAACAAGGTGCACAGTTTGTACAGAGCCCGGTTTGTCTTCTACGCGTTTATATACGCTTCTAAAAATGTAGATAGGAAGAGTGGGAGGGTCACAGACAGGGTGAGGTTGTGCCAAAGTCTCAGAGAAACATGTTAGGAAGTAGGTGAGCAGAATGCCAGGGGAATCTGAGGAATGCTTATCTGCGGTGCCTTTAGGCCGGCCTTCAGTCGCTACGCCTGTCTGGTTTGTGGGGCTGGTGCTTCTGGGGGACTTGTTTCATTTGGGTAAGGTTCTGGTTGGCTGTGGTCAAGGATAGCTGTTCTTAGTTTGGGGGTCGGAAAGGTTGAACCCGGGGGAGGTATATTGAGTTAAAACAGGTCTGGGTCCACAGACGCTGGTAGTTACTTGGTTGCCTGCTGATGATAAAATGAATGTGTTGTATTGCTCTTAATTTCCCTGCAGAGCCCCTTATCAAGCATAAATCACAGTGCATAGTCAGCTATGTGTTTGACCAGCTGTTGGACAGCTCTGGGATTCTCCTCTGTGATCTGTGGACCAGGATTGTAAAGTCAGGTGGCTCTTCAATGTGTCTCAGTCCCCCTGAAAAATAATTGCTGTAAAACCATTTAAAACGCATTTATCAACGGCCAAGCATGTAGCTACTGTAAAGCTCTATTAAGTGCTGTGTAACTGCTTTATGCTGTAACCTCATCTGTGTGTTCATGATTCCATAATAATGCATATGTGTTGACGGCCTGTGAAACAGGTTTTCCGTCCGCTCATCTGCCCTGTCGCGGCTCAGCTTTCCCACAGAGTCGCTAAGTGACACAGCTTGAGTTTAGTTGCTCCTTGAGTGACTTTTTGCGGGTCCCGCCCACGAGCCATTTAATGACTCTGAGTGGAATATTGACTCGCTTTGTTGGATTAAGTCTCCCGGTCCTTCCTGTTTCAGTGACCCGGAGCTAAAATCAGGAAAATGTGACTTTGAAACCCAGGATGTCTCGCAGTTTTGGCTTGAAGCGGTGACCTGCCCTTCAAATTTAAAAAACAAAAAAGAAAAAGAAAGAAAAGAAAAATGAAATGTTTGTCACTTTGCAGATAAGTTGTACCTGAGGGTGTTTGTGTATCGCCGCGTGTGACGCCGTGTTGGTGACTTCGTGCTGAGTTATGCTCTCTGGAGTCACCTGGAAAAACATCTGTGTTCTGCCATTAGCTAGTCTGACTGCGATGTCAGAGGAGATCTTTCTGGATTTGTATGTTCATTTGTTCTGTTGCCTCTTTTCACTTTGTGTGTGTGTGCGTGCGTGCGTGTGTGTGTGTGTGTGTGTGTGGGGGGGGTTCTCAGCAGTGTTTTGAGTTTAACATTTGAAAAATCTCATGACCAGGAGGATGATGGATGTGTGTGGTAATGCAGGCTTGTAAGAAACTAATAGGAATCTTTACATTTCATCGATCTGACACGTTTATCCAAAGTAACTTACACAAGAGGGAGGGCTTACAATCTGCGTGTACTTGCTGATATTTGAACTTTGCATTGTCAGCGTGATGTTCTCCTTACTGAGATACAGGACTGCATGTGTTGGATGCAGAATCCTTTGCTTCTCCAGCAGCCTCTGTCTGGGGGCATTCCTGTGCCCGCCGCTTCCTGAGCCACCCCTTCCTGTGCCCGCAGGTGGACAGGTGCCCTTCCACTACTCGTGCTACGAGCCCCTGCCATGCCGTTCCCTTTCGGCAAGTCCCACAAGTCCCCGGCGGACATTGTGAAGAACCTCAAGGACAGCATGTCCGTGCTGGAAAAGCAGGACATCTCCGACAGGAAGGCGGAGAAGGTAAGACGTCCGAGGTGCCTCAAAGTCAGACACTGGTGTAGAAGGAGGAAGTGGTATTTATCGGGAATGCTGGTGCGGAAGACTGATTCCTGCCAGGCGTTTACAAAAGGCTGGGGTTCTGCTATCAGGTGAAGGTAACGTGCAGAGAGTACAAATCCAGACCAAGATGTTGTCTCAACCAACCAGGTGAGTATAAGGAGTCACAGTCACAGAGTACTCAACTGGTTGGTTGAGACAACATCTTGGTCTGGATTTGTACTCTCTGGACCTGAAATCTCCACCTCTGTAGTCCAGCAGATTTCTTGATGCTGGTCACTCAGGCCACGTAAATCTTTTGAAGCTGGGCTGTATTTTTAGACCGAGGAATTAATTGTGACACTTCCGGAACCTTCTGAGAGACGGGCTCTGCTGTCTCTCGGTCTCCCCCTGATGTGGCCCGTCTGCGCAGGCCACTGAGGAGGTGTCCAAGAACCTGGTGGCCATGAAGGAGATCCTGTACGGCACCAATGAGAAGGAGCCGCAGACGGAGGCAGTAGCGCAGCTGGCGCAGGAGCTGTACAACAGCGGGCTGCTGAGCACGCTCATCGCCGACCTGCAGCTCATTGACTTTGAGGTGAGCCCCCCCCCGCCCACCCCACCTTGCTGCACCTTAAGAAAAATGGAGGGGGTGGTGGTTAAGTTGGCAACACCTGAACCTTCACGCTGATGTCAGCCTAGGGCCCTGATATCCCCCCCCCACCACCCCAACGTGCTTGTCTGCTCCCTACTGAGAGCAACGAGTTAAAGAAGAATCATAATTGAATGTAAATAAGTGTAACCATTTAACAGGCTCCACAGGTCCAGCGGCATCCTAGTATTTTTTTCTTATTCTGTAGAGAGGGAGTGCAAGAACAAAGGCAGGACTTTTCAATGGGTGACACACCGTCTGTAGAGCCTTAATCGAAACACGGAGCCCGGGGCTTGATTTCTTAGCTTTCAGAAAATAGCCATTCGGTCAGGTGGATGAATCTGTGCTGTGTGGCGTTTGTGTTGTGTGCGTGATGTAGGTCGTGCACCAGTTCCACTCATTCTGATCCTCCTCCTCTTTTTTTTGTTTTACGAAACAGGGCAAAAAGGACGTGGCTCAGATCTTTAACAATATTCTCCGCCGGCAAATCGGGACGAGGACTCCAACAGTGGAATACATCTGCACTCAGCAGAACATACTGTTTATGTTGTTAAAAGGGTGCGTATCTCTGCCAGCCTGCCGCCTTCCTGATCGGCACGATCGATCGCAGTGATCGCTAATCGTTTCTCGCCGCCTTTGCAGGTACGAGTCCCCGGAGATCGCGCTGAACTGCGGCATCATGCTGAGGGAGTGTGTTCGGCACGAGCCGCTGGCCAAAATCATCCTATGGTCCGAGCAGTTCCATGACTTCTTCAGATACGTGGAGATGTCCACGTTTGACATAGCCTCAGACGCGTTCGCCACCTTTAAAGTGAGTCCCTGGCAGTGTCACACGTATTCAGGAAATACAGCAAAATTCTCATGCCACAGATTGGGGGGGGGAGGGGTTATGACGGGGAAGGACAAACAGCAGTGCAATTCAAACCAGTATGGGACAATATCAGAGTACAACACTGATGACAATTAGGTAATGCAATATGGCAGATGAGGTAACTTTGTGGGATGCGAAAGTAATATCGTATAAAGAACTGGGAACACATCTCTAAGCTTCTGGCATGAGTGTGTTTAGCTGTGTGTGCATGGGGGGCTGAATTCCACCTCTTAAGCCTGAAGCCTGTGAACACTGAAGCGCACAGATTGGTTGCCGCCTTTGTGTCGCAAGCTGGCGACTGGGGGGGGGGGAGGACAGGCGCCCTGCAAACAGTGTCCCCTCTCTGTCCTCCAGGACCTGCTCACGAGACACAAGCTGCTGAGCGCCGAGTTTCTGGAGCAGCACTATGACAAAGTGAGTTACGGTGTCTCCGCACGCTCGTGTGATTCGCACAAACGTGCGCTTCCCTGCAGGAAGCCCGACGCTTCTGCTGGCGGGATGCCTGACAGCTGTAATTGCAGAAGAAAGGCAGCAGAATGACTACAGTGCCTCTATGGCATTCCTGCAACAATAGCTATGTCATTCTCTGGTAATAAATTACCGGTTTGTTCTGTTTTATTTAGGATGAAAACAAACATCTTAGTCTGACAGGCCCTCATTGTATGTCTCCCTCCCTCCCAGTTCTTTAGCGAATATGAAAAGTTACTCCATTCAGAAAACTATGTGACTAAAAGACAGTCTCTGAAGGTAAGCACTGCACCCGCGTCCCCATTACTGAAGGCACTGTTGGTGCTTATGCTGCCACCTAGTGGACATTGGGAATATTTTACTTCTCGTTTCCTCATGATTAATTCTGCTTTGTCTTGAGTTTCTCAGCCGTGATTATTTTGTATCCTTGTGCCACCTCAGCTGCTTGGGGAGCTTCTGTTAGACCGACACAACTTCACCATCATGACAAAGTACATCAGCAAACCAGAAAACCTCAAGTTAATGATGAACCTCTTACGCGACAAGAGTCGTAATATCCAGTTCGAGGCCTTCCACGTGTTTAAGGTACTCACTCGCACAGCATGGCTTTTAAGGCCCAGTATCTGCACAGTTTAGCCTCTGATTGGAGGGTCTGTGGAACATGGGTGTAGTTTTTTTTCGAATTCGAATTGAAGTAGTTTTGGGATTTGTGGTTTTATTTTTTTCTCTTAGTTTAGCTGTGGTATTATCAGCCTTGCGTACATTTGTTTTTAATTGCACCACTTTCCTGTGTCCAGGTTTTTGTTGCCAATCCCAACAAGACTCAGCCCATCCTGGACATTTTGCTGAAGAACCAGACGAAACTCATCGAGTTTCTCAGCAAGTTCCAGAACGACAGGACCGAGGACGAGCAATTCAATGACGAGAAGACCTACTTGGTGAAGCAGATCAGGGATCTGAAGAGGCCAGCGCCACAGGAGGCTTGATGTGCCTGGGGGGGGTGGGGCGGGGTGGGGGTTGGCACGCTGATGGCACACGTACGCACATCAGACCCCTCAGCAGAAACTGTCCTGGGACTGAGGACATCATTTTGTCAGTTCACAGGGAAGCATTAGTGGTCGTCTGCTGTTTGGTTCTCTTCTCCCTGATATTATTGTTGTTTTCTTTCTGTTGTTCCTCAAAAAAAAAAAAATGCGAACCATAGCTGCTGCTGCTTCCTTGCACATTAGGACACGATCTGAAAGATTCCCCTCAGCAAAAATCTAAATGGCAGGACAGAGATCTTTCGCTCGATGAATGTGAGGTACTGAGCCTCTACTATGCGTGCCGAGTGCTGAGCCTTAAAACCCAACCGGCAGGTGGATTTAGGTTGATTGCGTTGACAGAACCGTCGGTGTTCCTGCGCAGGGTGCGGATGACGACAGGCACCACATATTTGTGTATCCCGAAGGGGGGGGTTCTGGGTTTGAAAAGTGTGTGGGCCCATCGCTCAACCAGCTAAAACTCCATGCCCGCATTTAAATTCTGTAATAATAATAGTAGAAAGACAAGCCTTTCATGTTAACGTCATGGCATTGGGAACACAAACTACAGTGTTAACATTACAGAGTAATACGGTAGGGTAGGACGCCTGATGCGTATTTAACTTAATGCTTCAGGGATAGATGAGAGCATCTGAACTTGTACATATGCTGTCTTTGTTTCGCTTTGTATTTTTCCCTCTTTCGTGTGTGTTTGGAACAAAGACATAATCCTGAAATGTTTTAATTATTTTTTTTTTTAATGGTTATCGAATACATTTTGGAGTAGGAAGGCTGTAGATGTGACATTTGATTACTGATTCGCTGTAAATAACGTCCTCACCAGATTGGATCAGCATCGCAGATATCAATCGTTTGTTCAGCAGAGGAGCTGGCAGATCCCCCCCCCCCCCCGTCTCCTTTTTTGAAAGTGACTGTAAATGTGTTACTAAGTTTCTCTAGCAGGTTTCACAACAGGAGCCAGCTAGCAGAGTACCGAGCCGCGGATCGCAGTGCATGCTTTGAACTGGAAAGCAGTGAACTGGAAATGGAGAGGATAGTCTTCAGATTAATCTGCTGTGCTTCCGTTTTTTTTTTTTCGTTTTTTTTTTGGATGACACAAAAATACGTGTGCAGAGTATAGAACATCCATCATGGTTTGTTCCTTCTGGAGTGGGGTGTAGGGGTGGAGTGGGGGGCAAATAACTGGACAGATTTAGGCTGCAAAGTGTGCAGAGTGTTTGTGTTTGATTAAACCATAGTTGAGCTGAAAGTAACTAGGGCCCCCCCTACTGTTAATATAAGAAATGTCAAGTATACTGGTCAAATGGCAGAAGGCAGTGTTCTCTGTTTCTAAGGTGGCATTCATGGTGCAGGAATACTACAGTTAATGCCGCCGACCGTATTGTTTGGAAGTCTCAGCCATTTCATTATTAAGATTCTCTGCATGAATCAGGATTTCTGCATAAAGGCAGTGATAACATCTTCCTTTGCCTTCACCATTCAGGAGTTGTTGGCTGTTACAGTAAGGGCATGAGCAAAGAATGGTGCTTTAATGCAAGTCCTGCAGCCTCTATGAAATGATGCAACCTAACACGTTTCATCTGACTGACACGCGAAGCACCCAAGAGGCGCCCATTAAAACAGCATGCAGCTTCTGAGCTCTAAACGAGCATGATGCTATGTGACTATACTATACTGGGAGTGCAATTATCTACATATTGCACGACCGTTTATAAACAGAACAAATATCAGAAATGTTTTATTCTTAATTGAAACTCAACTTCATAGTCAAACTATAAAGTATGACTGTGCTTTTAACGTGTGAAAAAGACCCAGGCCCAAAACATAAATAAAGGAATTTGAGAAAAGAAAACACCTTGGAATTTTGTATTTTTTTTTTTGTCTGATTTACTATTGTTTTTCAGTTTTCCGTGCTACCACTCATTTGTGATTTTACAGGAATGAAAACATTGGTTTTCTTTTGTTAAAGGCAGATTTCTAAGACTGCTCGTTTCTGAGAAGCTACTAAGAATTGTTGGTAGATCGGGGGTGAATTTGATTCAGTGAGATGAATACGTAGAGGAATCAGCAGGGACATACCTAGATAATCTGGACCCCCTGATACAGGGCCTGGGGCACTATTTGATTGGGGAGCGCAAAGGAGTGAGTGAAAAAAATTAGAGGAAGTACCTCTGGTTGCATTCCGTGACATTAGTTATTCACACTAGTGATATTCCCCCCCCGCCCAGTTTTATGTACAATTTTATGTATTCAAGGGCCCCTGTCAAGTGCTGGGCCCACTGAATCTGCCAGAACATCCATACCCCACGACGCCCCTGGGAATACTGTGCCGTGACACTTCGACTTTTGTTCTGTCGCTTTAAGAGAGTTTGGGGAAAAAACGGCCAACTTCCGGTCGCTTGGAGCGAGCAGCAACATTGTAACATTGTAGCGGCATCAAAAGGGGCTGCGATCCAGGCGCGCGGAGTAGCTTCTGAACGGTACCTCTGCACGACCAGGATGGTGAAGATCGCCTTCCAGCCTGTCGCCGGGCAGAAGCCCGAGAAAGAGCTCATCGACGGGGACAAAACTGAGATCCTGATCCCGCATCCCGCCGTAAGTGTGACTGCACCCCCCGCAGCTTTGTCCTCCCCTCGGCAGCATCTCGCTGGCGGACTGCCGGCTCTGTGCGGATCGCTGGCTGGTTGTATGTTGTATTTTGTACGGCGCATGTGGATGGATGGATGGCTGAAAAGTGCCGGTGTTTGGCTTTGGCTGGACTCGGTGATGACGAGGCGGGGAGCCAGATCTCACGGCAGTACGGGCTACCAGCCATAACTCCGTATGCGTAGGAAAACCGAGCAGTCATTCCTGGAAGCGCTATATATATGAATGAGAGACACACATATAAACACACACATTGTACGTGTATGTTATGCTGCTTATACTTATTTAGTTGTAGTCTAATCCTTCTCATCTACATGTTATTCATATAATTATTCACTTTAATCAATGCAAGTTCTTCAACCGATTGAACATGGGGCAATGGAGTGAATTTACCGGTGAGAGGACCAGCGTAGACCGCCAAGTCAACAGACAAAATGGCAGATCCAGTGCGAGTACCTACCGTAACAAAAACATCCTCATAACCTAGAAATATTGCCCACTGTGGCCCAGCTACACATAGACTGCAGAATGTAGTAATCCTCGGTAAATTTGCCTGCATCTTACTGTTTTTATATATATATATGCTACCTACAGCAAAATTACTCGTTAGTATTTTTACGCGGGTTAGACTTAAATTAAGGATGAAAAGGGTTAATAGTCAGCTGTCTCAGCAGGTGGATCCATATATACAATTTATGTTTATATTATCTGACACAAAGAAAGGTGTTCAAAGAAACAGACGGCGTTGTTGTGAACTGATGTGGTGCATTTACTGCAAGGTTATCTGCGTACCCTGGCGACTTATAGGAAAAAACGAGACTATTGTCTGAGGAATTGACTGTTTTGGTTTTTGTAACCGAGACCCCATTATGTCACCACGACAGCCGCTGACTATTTGCATCATACAGTCAGAGCTTTGTGCAGGAAGTACAATGGACGCCTTTCTCCCGAGTGATCAAATGCAATGAGACGCATCCATCATGAATACGGTTTTATAAATGTACAGTAGGATGCGTTTTCTTTGCCTTATGTTTACATTCATTTGCATTCCTACCTGTGGTTGTCGTTATGTAAAATATTGTTGATTTATTTTGTATATGAAGCTTATGTCTGGTTCGTTTAAAGGTATTTTGAGAAACAAATATTAAAATACATTTCATCATTAGTTTATTGTCAATTTCTTAAACATTGTAACCGATCATCAAATTATACACCCAATGTTCCATTGGAGTTAACTGTAGAATTTTGGTACCAATAATAAAACCGGCTGAAAATGGCTGATTTTCAGGCCTTTCTCTCCCACGGTAGCAGTTGTACTGAGAGACCGGGGGCGGCTTCGCGTCGCTTTCGTCCCGAAATGACTACATTACTAATGGCCTGGCAGCTCCTCTGGTAACGTTTTCCTTCTTACAGACACCCATGACAAAATCTGTCACGACGGTTGTAGCAGCACACCATGTGGCAGTACGCTAGAACATGATTTTTTATATATTTATTTGATGTTAAATGTGCATGATTTTTTTAGAGGCTTTTTTTTTTTTTTATCTTGATGGCAAACAGTGGACGAGTGAAATATGTCCGCTATTACGTAAGCTGTTCATTATCCTTCGACCTGCTTAGGTACTCTTTAATTCGGCGTGATGAATTATACAATTTCAGTGGGTTCGCTATCTAGGTCTGGCACACGCAACTGTTAGGCATCGGAACACGTCTAACGCGTATCCCGTCCAAGGAGGAGAAAGATTTAGCATAGTTTTTGGCAGCAATTCTCTGTACTGGACATCTGCCGTACTTCTTGTAGTTTAACACTGTCGTGGACCTGCGGTGTAGGGAGACCCCAAAGAAATTAACATCGAGTTATAGTAAGCGACCTTGTCATTTAAAAATGTGGATACCTAAAAGTAAATTACTGAGAATAAAAGCAGTAAGGAGGAACGGTATGTAACATAATACAGTGAAAACCGTTCCCATCACAGTATTCCTTATCGTTGCCTGGAGCCAGCTGAGCCTCTAGAGGGCGCTGGTTTGTTGGCCTCAAAAACATGAAGAGCAGCGCAATTTTAAAAAACAAAAAAACCAGCTTCTCAGGGGACTCCACAGTGCTGTCGTACTGCCCCCTTACTGTAGAGCAGCACTGCCCCCACCAGAATCCCGAACCATTCAGCATATTTATTTCACCTAAGCCTCGCACAAATCGGCCGAATGAGGGTTCTAAGATCAGCTGATTAGTTTAGATCAGGGGTGTCAAACTCCTGTCCTGGAGGGCCAGAGCCCTGAGTAGCTTAGCTCGTTCCCTGTTCCACCACACATCTCAAGAGCCATGTGGTGATTAGCACAAGGAGTTGCAAGGAGTTCAGGTGTGTTAAATGAGGGGAAACCCAAAAATGGGCAGGGCTCCGGCCCCCCAGGACTGGAGTTTGACACCCCTGGGTTAGATTGTTGGCCAGTGGAGTGCAGTGAGTCTGTGGTCACAGGAGGTGCTTAAGGAGAAGCCTGCGAGCCTCCTGCCTTCAGGAACAGAGATGGAACCCAAGTGAATGCTTCAGGTCACCATGCTTTTATGGTCTGTGTTTAGGGTGCAGCTACAAGCTCCTCATAGTAATAATCTCTCTCCCAGGAGGAGGATCTGGCTCCTCCACTTCGTCCAAAGAAGAATCCTTTAAATGGACTGTGCTGTTTGACCTTTGGCCTCGTAGTGTTCATGACCAGCCTTGTCCTGGCGTCCATCTACATCTACAGGTATTACTTCATACCTCAGGTAAGCTTCTGGCTATTTCTGGATTTAAATATTTAAAATGTTTACGTTCGGGACACATTCTGAAGCTGCTTGCACTGTATTCCATAGTATACACATCAGCAACGCGCAGTAGAAATTTACATTTACACAAGGTACATAGATTTCCTGTGTTTTGAAAGATGGGAAAAGTCGAAACCCTTTGAAACCACAATGGGCTATGCAGCAAGGTGTTTGGGAGAAGTGACAGTCCATTGCATGTCCATCTTATCTCTCTGGCTGATGTTGAAACCACAGCAACTGTGTTAACACCGTAGAGTTCCAGAAACCCATGTGTAATTTTGTGTGTGACTATTTCAACATGTTTGCTACATCAAACCGGTTTGCCAGCCACTTCAACTTGCTGTAATCAGCAGGGCAGCATTTTCAGTTTTATTAAGAAATATTCAATAAGCCTGTTGTAAGATACTGCAACTCTGTATTGGATGACTAACCTTGGAAAAAGGACGGGCTGCATAAAAGGTATCACAAATAATGTTAAACCCTTTAATCTTGAGTGAAAGATAAGTGGCCTGGCTGGTTTGCCAAAGCTGTAGCCGTAACAGGATGTTCCACGTGTTTGTTTTGCTCCTCTGAGAAGCCACATATTATTAGCTTAAATTAATGAACACGGCGGTCTTGTCCTCTCAGATCCGTGAGGAGAACCTGTTCCACTGCCGCGTGCTCTATGAGGACTCCATCTATGCCCCGATGCGTGCCCGCCAGGAGCTGGAGGAGAACGTGGGCATCTACCTGAAGGACAACTACGAGCAGATCAGCGTCCCTGTGCCCCACTTTGGTGGGAGCGACCCAGCCGACATCATCCATGACTTTCACAAGGTGGGTCCCCAAGTGGCCGGCTAAGGGATCGCAGAGGAGCTGTGTCTGCATGTTTAAGCCCATGCCAGCCGGTTGTCAAGGTGATGCCTTGTGGGGGATGGGGGCTTCTTGAGGTTGTACACTGTAGCTGTTAGGTGGTTTTTGCGACGAACACGTGAGCAGGCTTGGGGAAGGATTTCTCGGTATTTGCAGCACTGTGAGGTGTGAGGGTGATGGTGGTGTTTGCTTTTGACACTTTTTCCCGAGGTAACTGTAAGCTCGTGTTAACACTTTGATTTGATAAGGTGTGTGGATCAGTGGGTGGGGATACTCTGCCCATCATCAGAAGGGTCAGATCCAAGTATCAGCAGAGTGTCTACACCCTGGGCTCATCACCATGGTCAATTCTGATGGATATTTTGCATTGCTGTTACCGCTGATGTGCTATTTAAAAAAAAAAAAAATGTAGCCAACATAGTTTTTCTTTTCCTCAATAAAAACATTTGCCATGGACCCATTTGTCTGTGTACAAACAGGTTGACCTTCCTTGAGCATGGCCCTTAACCCCAATTGCTCTAGGGACTGTCTGTCCTTGCTTTCTCAGAAATATAGGTTGCTTTGAATGAGAAAATGCCAGCTAAATGAAAAAAGAAAGCAAAAAAAAACCCCCAGGCCCCACCGTTTATCATTGATGATCTCGATCTCTGTCCTGCGTTCAGGGTCTGACGGCCTACCATGACATCGCACTTGACAAGTGCTACGTCATCGAGCTGAACAGCACCATCGTGATGCCACCACGGAATCTCTGGGAGCTCCTGGTGAACGTCAAGGTGATGCGCCACGCACTTGAATCCCAAGCGGGGCCGTGAGTCGCGCAAACATCACGTACACTCTGGGTGCGGCACACGTGAAGGAGGCGCGCCTGAACACAGAGGGGAGGAGGTGAACCATGGCGTTTGGTTCTGCTGCATGTTCTTTTCTTGGGACCCAAATCGGAATAATGAGGAACGTTATAGGGATGCCGGTAATCATGATGCAGTAATGATTTGGCAGATTGAGCTGCCTGCAGTTTTCGGTGACTTTGTCAGTTTGTTGCAGCAGCCCTAATGAGGTTTTGAGCCTTAAAATGACAGCTAATAACAATAACACATGTATATCAACAGCATTTTTGTGAGGCGGGTGTCTTAAAGGGCCAGTGTGTTCCATAACCATGCCCCGCCCCCTTGCAGAAGGGGACCTATCTTCCTCAGACTTACATCATCCAGGAGGAAATGGTGGTAACCGGACGTGTGCACAACGTGCGGCAGCTGGGTGCCTTCATCTACAGGCTGTGCAACGGCAAGGACACCTATTGGCTGAAGCGCAGAAACCCCCGGAAACGTAAGCCTCGCCCCCCCCGTGGGCCTCTATCGCATTTCACACAATCTGGTACTTTTGTTTTTTTTTAAGGATTTCCTTTAGCGTAAATTAGTGCTTTTCAATAACTCACTCACTGGAGGGCTACCAGCCTTCCAGCAAATGTTAGTCAGTGATCTGTCATTCCGAGAGGCGGGATCCATGGTGAAATCTGATCGCCACAGGCATCGACAAACGCCGGGCCACAAGCTGCCATCGTATCCGCCACCTGGAGAACACGTTCGTGGTGGAGACGGTGATCTGCGATGCCGCCTGAAAGGGCTGCTGTCTTCCCGTTGGCACGGCCACTTCCCCAGCTGCTGTAGCGCCCTCCTGTGGATTTAGTTTCAGTTGCACTTTAAGCACGGTGTTCCCTTTTGAATTGATTTACCCAATTGTATGTCATATATTTTTTTATTTTTACGTATCGAACATTTAGAGAATTGTGTTTGTCCTGTTCTGGGACAAAATGTCATTTTTGTTGCATAGTTTACCCCCCACGATGGAACAGTGGTTGAATATTTATTTTTTTGTGTTGGTTGAAGGATTTTGTTTACATGTGTCTTGGTGGTATATTACATTAATGTAGCGATAAAATGTTAAATCTAATATTAAATGTAACGTGACCCCCCCCCCACACCGTAAAAAGCCACTCATTAGCATTGCTGTTATTGCTGTTTTTTTACAGTTCTGTCCTTTTCGTAAACAGTGTGGCATTATTTTCACTTGATCCTCATGCTGCGCCGGCAGAGTCTCTCCTCTCCTTGCAGTGCTTCCCGCTGTCCTGTGCTGTGGTCGGAAGGTGTAGCTCTGGAGCTCTGAATTCCCACATTCTCACGTCCTTTGGGCTTCTGGAAGCCGGCATTGATTGGCCCTGATAGTGTCCTTACCTACGATTCTTCCTCAAAAGGTGGGAAACTGATAAAAGCTAGAGGCTCCTGTTTGCTTTGGTTTAAATAGCTGGTGGTTGTTAGTGGACCAGTCGTCTCCTGGCTGTCACGTGGTAACCGGCAGAATACGGACGTTCCCATTCTTAAGACTGGCGTGTTACTGGCCCCTTTTGTGAAGGTGTGGTGGTGATCTCGCCTCCCCATGCCTGCACTCCCACCGTCTCCTGCATTCAGGCCCTCTCTCCGCTTACTCACTCCTCCTCGACAATCTGCTCATGTGCTTTCTGCTAACTGCTCGGTCTGTCTCCCTGCATGTTTCTCTGACTATATTACGTATCTCTTGAGACAATGACAAAAATGCCTTAGTTCAGAGTCAGAACTAAAGTCAGCGCAGTTGTAAACGTCTGTCTGTACTTTCGGCTGATCTGTATATTTTGTCTGCTATGAAATTCCGTCTATAAATAAACTAAAATTCTGTCATGTCTTGATCTTGATTTCCATTTAATGATGAAGACCCAGTGCTAAATTTGTAAACTGAGGAGCTCATAAAGACCACAGTGATGTCCTACACAAAAATTGGTAATTGCCATATTAATTACTTAAACAGATAGCAATGCAACAATTTCTATCAACACCTGTTAGTTAAATCAAGCTTTTCGTGTGTCACACTCTTTCCACTCCTTTTTTTGGTTCTTTTTACGAGCTGCCGCTCCTCTCCTCTGTCTCTGCTCGTTCTCAGCATTAACACTCACAAATGCCGTTCCTCTCCTCTGTCTCTGCTCGTTCTCCTCTCAGATTTTCTGACTCATTTCGTCTCTGCTTGGGTTCCGATGGCTTTGCTGCTTCGCATGTCTTTTTTTTCCACTTTTTTTTTAATTGTGCTGTAACAACCCAGCATGTAACCGCATCTGTTTTAAAGGGGATTTCTCTGCATGTGCATGGTGAGACTTTTCACTTTCAGATTAAAAATCAGATAAGCGAAACATACTCCTTGAAGCAGATGTATGTCAAAAAATACTAATAGAATCTTACAACGGGAATTATTTCATAAATATTCATTTATTGAGTTTGATTTGCATTTATCCTAAAGTTTAACACTAATTAATTTTAAGTTTTTAATTATATTGGGTGTAGAGTTTGAGGTGATGAGAGGTGTTGGAGCACAGACTTCAGATCCTGTGGTTGTTCACATCAGGGACTGGTGGGGGCATATGGACACAGAAGCATCAGCACTACCAGCTAAAGGACTGATGGTCCATTCTCCACATCACAGCAGTGTCTGCCAGCTCATAGGACAATGACAGTTAATGCCCTTGCTTAGGAGTTCTGAACTGGCAACCTTCTGATCGCGTGCACGACCCCGATAAAGTATTGCATTATCATAGGCTTGAACCCAGGTCCTTCAATACGACAAGAGGGATCTTTAAGTGAGTTATGGATAGACCTTCACCACATCACTGCGTCTTCATCACTCATGAAGACCAGTAAAGGTGCACCAAAGCGTGCCTTCAAATTGGAAATCTGACAGCATACAGCAGTTTAGGCAACTGCTTTGTTTAAAGCGTAACTGCTAGCGAACTGTTCCCAAAGCCTGCAGTCCCACTCACAAAAATTTTAGCTTTGACCAAATATTAATATATTGGAGACCTCAGGGTCTCTTGACCGTAAGCTGAAACACTGCTTAAACAATCTTGTTCAGTGTCTTTTAAGAGTAATTGTTAGCTGACTAGTGACAGATTAAAGTGAAACAATTTCACGTTGGCATCTTAAACTTTAGTAATGATACAGCTGTCACACTGACGTAAAGACTTTCAACACATCAGAATAGCTATCAAGATTTTCTTATCAAGCATGTAAATAAACTTAATATGAAAATAAAAGGACACTCATCCTATCAGACAAGCATGCTGCATCCAGGAATTTTGAACTGGGGGAAAAAATGTTCTCAAGGATGTTTGGATGATACATTCATGGGACTCCTTGTTCTGCTACAGGCCTTAATTGGGCTGCCCAGGAGACTGCCTGATAGAATGTCTGAATGGCACAGGTAGGCCTTGCTCCTGTTCTTGGAAACTGAGTAAAACTCATTTAGTTTTGTTTTTACGTCCCTTCTGAAAAAATAATAGAACTTTAGATTTTAGTGTATAGGGTTTTAAACTGTTTCCTTTTCATCCTGTTCGTTCTATTTCCCTTTATACTGTTTTCTGTTTGCTTTCTGAGGAATCCAAAAGCCTTATCTTGATTATCAACTTTTTGTTTGTTCTTTTAAGTACCACTCAGAAAAAACTTTTTGGAGTAGGTACACTGTGCCCGCAGGTTTCGCATGTAGGTGTTCATGCCTGCCAGGGCCTGTGAGCTGAGCACTAGCTAGCTGTGCTTGTCGAGTTTGCATGCTTTGCCCCTGGCCAGTCCAACCCCAGCACGTATGAATAGCTCTGGCTCAGCAGAAGCTGAAACTCGATACATCTGCATCTGCTCACTGTAGCCCATCTCTGAGTTACATTATTACCATAAACCGTCATTATAGAAATAAAGTATTTTTATTTTTTTACAAGGGCGTGCAAAAAAAATTGAGGAGACATAATGTTTGCGTTCCTCAGTAGCAGTCAGACAGACTGGTCATCTTCCTCACGGAGGGCTTGTGAGCAGGGAGCGGGCTCTCTGTGGACGTCTGCAAGTCAAGGGGCAGCGTTGCAATGTATGAAGTCGGCTTTCTCTCCTCTTTACTGGACATCCAGTTCTCTTTCAGGGTGTAGTAGTAACAGGCGCCGTCAAACAGGCAGTTCAGGCTGCTTATACAGGAGCTTACGCGAAAGACGTCCCTCAGAGGGTCAATGGTGCTCTGGGGCAGGGTGGAGTTCTTAGCCAGAAAGAAGAGCAGGGCGGCGATGTGATAAGGAATGAAACACACCATGAATGTCACAAGGTTGCTCAGGACTATCTTCAGGGATTTGTTATTCCTGAGCTTGGCGTCTGCCGGGTTCCTCTTACGCATGGCCCTCAGGATCTGCATGACGTTGACAGAGCAAAGGGCCATGGCGGTGGCACTGATGAGGAATGTGACCTCCATGGACACTATGAGGGTGACATTATCCCACGTTTCGTTGGTGAAGTTCTCAAAGCAGTATTCAGTTTTCTTGTGCAAACGGTAGACGGGGATACTGGCCACAAACATTACGATCCATATGAGGAGGCAGGCAGCCACAGCGATGCGCGGCGACCGCAGCATCCATCTTCTCCTGAACGGGTAGCGGAGCGTGATGTAACGGTCGGCCGAAATGCACACAATAAGGGCAATGCTGCCGTAGATGTTCACGAGGACCAGGCTCTCCAGGAACGAGCAGAACTTTGGCGAAAGATTCCACGGCCTCTTGTAAGCATAAATCTTGAAGGGCAGGGAGAATAAAAAGAGACAGTTGTTCACCGCCAGATTAGCCAAATAGACCATGGACTCTGTGAATCGTCTTATCTTGAAGAACAGAATCCACAGGGCTGCCAGGTTCAAGGGGAAGGCCGTGATGCATGTTGGGATGTAGATGGTCATTTGGATCCAGCAAACGAAATCACACCATGTCATTTTGCTGTGGGAAAAAGTAAAGATTAAGCAGTGCAGTTTGTAACAAAAAGAAACAAATGATCAATCTTCTTGGCTGGGATTATGGAAGTAAAACAGCTAGAGTGAGTGAGTGAGAGAGGAAGCAAGATAGATAGATTAGATAGACTGGGGTTTCACTACATACTGTACACACTGTCTGACTGTATATGAGACATGTACATAAGACAAACAAAACTTTTCACACTATTTCGGATCAGCAGACCACTGAATGACCTGATCTTTTTCCGTAACACAACACTAAATTAATATTCTTAATGTGAAGAAACTTCCTTTGCGAACTAATTTACGCGGCGTTAAATCCCGCAGAAAGGCGTAGCTTACTCATACATTTCCAGAGTCCCACGGGGGCAAAAAAAAACCCTCTCAAAATCACATTAAAATCAATATACTTTGACAGACTTAGAAATTCTTCTTTCGTCTGGTCGGGTTCAAGCCTCATTTAACTTAACTGACCAAACGGGCGCGGCGTGCGGCTCTGTGGCTCACAGGCGGGGTGGGGGCCGGGGGGTCGCCGGTCCCTTAACGCTGGTATCCCCGGGAGGCTGGCTGTTCCTGATCTCCGATCCTCACTTGTAGGACTGATAAATAATTGTAACGTACATGAGAAAAAACACCTCCCCGGAGATTAGTCATTGTAATCCATATAGTTTTTGAAATTTGCATAAAAAATAAACGAAGACTTAGATCTTGAAACCTTTAGACAAAACTGGAATAATAAGGTGTAGCTCACTGTTACTTTTTATCTTTTCTATTTAAGGAATTACGTGAGTTATATGAAAAACTACACTATTGACACTATTTTAAAAATGCTTTGAAGCCTTTTAGGGATTTACGTGACGAAATTACAAACGTTTCAGCTTTCGATAAATCCGAATACCATTAATTTTAACAGGTTAAGAAAATGTACCGAAATGCTTAGAATAATCTCTCAGTGTTATATGAGACTTACCATTAGTGTTAAGATCCTCCCAAGTCTGATTGAGCACAATACGGAACTAATAAATTGAAAAGCTAACTTGCTATGATGTAACTCTGAGGCTTCAGATGCGTATGAGACCTGCAGAGGAAGTTTGACGGAAATGAGTACGCTGATGGTTTGAATAATATGTCTTGTTTATACCACTTCCTTTTCAGTATTTTTTCGGTAACATGTCAATCAAAATAAGTACATACAATGGTTGGATTAGCCCGCTGCCATTAAACAAAGGGAAAAAATAGACAAGCACCTCTAACCCCCTCTAATCAATTTGTTTTCAGATGAACAGAAAACGGTGTGTGATTTCAAAAATTAAAATAAAGCGCAGCAGCCTACAAGGAAGAATAACCATGTTAAAAAAAATATTATGCTCTTTCACTACTCAGGGATTCATCTTGGGAGAGATGGCCACAGTGTCACAATTCCCACCTTGAAGTGAAAGTGGATGTAAAAGAAACAGAGAGAAATTTAGAGAGAGGGAGGGAGAGGGAGAGAGAGAGAGAGGCAAGAATGTTAATTTCACTATAGTATTATTTCTCTGGTTACCTATCAATGATAAATCATCCATTTCGGCAAAGTTTTACTAATATTACACGATAATATTATAATAATAATATTCTATTCTATTCTAATAATAACTGTAAGCTGTAAGACCTGCAAACTGTAACTTTATGGCTAAAATACCACTGGACACCAAATCTACTCAT